TATCACTGTAAAATCTTGGTATCCATCTAGGTCTTGCACGAATTAATTGTGATATTGCTTATGTTAATCATGAAAATCCAAGATTAACGTGTGCGGTTTTAAGGTAATGAAGATTTTGTTTAAAGATATTGTTCGTAAGTACACGTAAGTTTAAAAAATTTTTTGTTAGTACACCAACATTTTATTTAAATAAATAATGTTTGTTAAATATCTAAATTGAGTAAAAAATAATCTTTTGATGATCCAAAATTAAGAAACCCACCTGATAACGTAATTCCTCCAATTCAAGCACCGCTGGGGAGGGGGCGGAGCATCTTCACATATTGTCCAATAGCAAACTCGTGCGCGTAAGGAGGGGGTAGTTCTCTAGTCTGGAGATTTTAGACTCTGAATTTTTATCAGAGCAGTGTTTCCATTCGCGGGATTATTATCCCGAAAACGGGATTTTTAGACCTTGAGCGGGATTAAAACGGGATGCGGGATAAAACGGGATTTTCTGGGAAGCCAGGATAAATTGGTATACTAAAAAGAAAACTGAATTAACACTGACTGTGCTACATTTCTTAGTAATCATTGAAAGGGCCGATTTGCAAACTATGGAAACATAGGAAAGTCATAGAAACCCACCAACGAAAGGAAATAGAAAAAATGTTTTTTTTTGTATAATCGTTATTATGGACAACCTAATGCGGCTATGAGTTAGGCTATTTGTAGAAACACTAAAAAACAAGACCAGATTTTGAAATATTATAAGATATTTACAAGAAATGTTGATTATATCGATCTCTTATGTACATCTTGAGTATTTCCATAATCTTTGAGTTGAACCTTTTAAAGTCATCAGAAATTATGAGTGTTATTCATTTTAAAATAACGCCGGTAATACTTAGCAATTGCTCGAATTCAAGCAACAGTTACACTAGTTAATAAAACTCAACATTTGCTGTTTAGCGAATTTCCCTTTTGGGTGAAGTAGCAATTACCGTAGGTGGCACGGTAGGACTAGGCTCGAGACCGATTTGCTTTGTCATTTTGATGTTCCCAGGGTCCAAAAACACAATTCGTTCAAATTGTTATATATGTATATATTTATATGAATATATAAATACTTCCGTGAACGCGATAAGTTGAGTTATTTTTGTCCGATTCTGATGATACTTGGTTTAAAGGGGTAAGGCTTAAACTTTAACTTGAATGAGTTCGCGAACCAGCATAATCGGACCATGGAAACGGGGTTTTACGGGGGTTTTATGGGGTAAAATGAATTCCTTTAGAATGCATTTCAAACCGTAAACCTATACCAAGCCATGGCTCAGTCCCCCGGTACTAGTTGCAACAAACAGTTTTATTTATATTCTTGAAATGAATTATTGTCACCAACCGTGAAAGATAGCAAGAAAACACACATTGGATTTCAGAACGTTCAAAGTCCGCATTCCCCTCCCTACATTAGTCATTAGCAAACATTAGTCATTACCTGCCATCTAATTACCAGGAATGCTTGGCAGCGTTTTTCACCTATCACGCCATGCTTGTACTGTTAGCTATGTATCACGAACGTTAGTAATTGAAATGAGTGTCATTTTTGTATTTGCATTTTGGTTTGCTATGCTGGTTACGTATGCCATGATTATGAAGCTATTTACAAGAGGTATTTTACGGAATGTCCCTATATCGAAGTCGCTATGGCCTATTCCAAACATCCATATCCTATAGTTCAACAACAGTCTGTTTAAAAGTTCAATCTTTGTAGAATATGAATTTGCTTGTAAGCTAACGTGACGTCACGTAGTGGTGAGGGTAGAGACTCACCGCAGGTAGAAACTGGGAGCGATTGTCACAATATTTGAGTTGGGATCAATGGTATGTGGTGGAGATTAACAGGTATTCTAAGAAGTGACCCTTACTAATCCTTTTGGTGGGTCAGGATTAGGAATATGTATTTTTCCTCCAATGATATTTGCTACCGCTGTATACCTGCCTCAGTCTGTCCTCCTCTTACCAAATAAATGAACGTATCAATGAGTATAGCATTACTCATCTTAATTAATTAATACGCATTAATACATTAATACGCAAGCAGTTTTCTTTTCACAGTCATAACTCAATAACGGCTTGATGGATTTTAAAGTTTGAGGTGTCAAATTAAATGTACATAAGAGATACTATACATAAGAGATAACCAAAACAGTATGAGAGTGAATGTAAATTCAAACGAGTGTTAGCCCGTCCTACGTACGGGAATTCAGTGGTCAGTTAAAACCGTGTACAATTCAGATCAGCTAGTTTACACATAAAGACAAAGTTTCTTGCAGTTTTAATGTGAAGAATCATCTTGTAAACAAATGTTGTGTGACCAAATATGTTTTTATTCCATCATAGGCCTATACGATTATAGATATTGTATTATAGATATTGTAGATTACTTTCATATTTTTTGCATCATAATATTTTTGTATTTCTATAATCAGTCATATAAATTATTTTAGAGCGACTCTTTGATTAAGGTCTTGCTGTTTATATTTTTTTTGTTTATTTTTTAAATACAAGTTTCAGTTTTGCTCGATTTCGAGCAACGGGTTATCTAGTAGTATAAATAAGTCAACCCAATGCATGCCATTATTATCCAATAATGATGGATTTGTGTAACACACGCTTAATGTTTACAGCTGTTACATTAAGCAAATGTTATTGTACCAAAAGCTAGTGTAAAATGTTAGCGTCGGCTGCTAAACTGAAACCCTAAACTAAGAGTATGGCTTAAACTAAAAATTATTTTTCTTTCAACACAAAAATCATGAAAATCCGTCAAGCGGTTGATTCAGAACCGTGAAATAAAAAACCCTGTCACGTTTTCATATATACGATCTGTTGGCCTGTTCGTTAGTGTGGTGGTGCCATCAAAATACTAGAATTTTAACTATTAAATGGGTAAAAAATTAAGATAAAATATTAATATGACTATTGCGTACTTTACAAAATATGGTAGATTACCTTACTGCATACAATATTTTCTGTGCTTGGTACGAATTAATATTGCTTAAATAACAGGCTCCATCTCCTTTTGAAAACCCATTTGGTTAATATTCTAATCGTGACGAATAATCGCCATCTTTTTAGTAAACAAAACGCAATTTATTCCAAAACTATATGCGAGCCATCCCCTAATATGCAATGTTCAGAGCTGATTTTTTAAGGTTCGCGTTGGTGATATTCATGTTCTAGTGCATTACTATCCTAGAATTTGCTATTGTTTATCACCTGTGCGTATGCTAATTATCAGTACCACCTAAGTTTTTGCGGTGCAAGTCGTTGAATATCACACTTTATTCTATAGCTAACCCTGAAATATTCCGGAGCCATCCCCTAATACGCAATGTTCACGGCTGATTTTTTAAGGTCCGCGTTGGTGATATTCATGCTCTAGTGATTTAATATCCTAGAATTTACTATTGTTTACATCATGTAAATATGCTAATTATCAGTACCACCTAAGTTTTTGCGGTGCAAGTCGTTGAATATCACACTTTATTCTATAGCTAACCCTGAAATATTCCGGAGCCATCCCCTAATACGCAATGTTCACGGCTGATTTTTTAAGGTCCGCGTTGGTGATATTCATGCTCTAGTGATTTAATATCCTAGAATTTACTATTGTTTACATCATGTTGTGATGATGTGGAGTAGTATGAGTGTAAATGAAGATACCTGGGCCCTATATATCTTCCTCTAGCCACTGCCAAATCACCCACATTTCCTGTCGTAACCCAACTCTATTGCAAGAATTAATCTAACTCGTCAAAGTGCACAATATTACCTTAGCTGCCTATCACAGCCAGCTTTTATGTTCATAATGTATCTAATTATAATATAATGAACAGAGAAATGTATATATATGGACTTATTCTAATTCGTGAAAAAGGTTACTAGACTTAGCAAATGTGAATTCTAATTTACGATATTAATTGCCAGACCACGACCCTTCGAGAACCTAATAAACTACATGATTGAATTACTTTTTGCCCCAACCTACACCCTTTCCCCAACCCCTACTTCTATTAGCTAGACATCTTAGGCTACAGTCTACTTATCCGATCAGATGTACAGCTCCAGGCGCTCGACACTACACTGAACTCGTCTCTTGGTTCGCTGCGCGTGCCTACCCGGGTCGACTGCGCGCGCATCGTGGTCACGTGACTTGCGCTATTGTAGCGGTCCGCTACAATATAAATATGCTAATTATCAGTACCACCTAAGTTTTTGCGGTGCAAGTCGTTGAATATCACACTTTATTCTTTAGCTAACCCTGAAATATTCCGTAGTATCCGATATTTGGAGCTATATTTTTTTTAAAGTACTTGTTCGTGTTATCTATACTCTAATAGTTAGCTATACTAGAACGTATTATTGTTCATAGCATTTGTAAAAGCCGACTATCAATACCCATTAAGCGTGTTTAATGTAAGTCTTTGAAAAACGCAATTTATTCCAAAACTATATGCGAGCCATCCCCTAATATGCAATGTTCAGAGCTGATTTTTTAGGGTTCGCGTTGGTGATATTTATGTTATAGTGCATTACTATCCAAGAATTTGCTATTATTTATCACCTGGGTGTATGCTAATTATCAGTACCACCTAAGTTTTTGCGGTGCAAGTCGTTGAATATCACCATTTATTCTATTAGTCACTCTAAACTAATCCGTTACACCCGGTGTTTGGAACTGATTTTTTAAGGTTCTTGTTCGTAATATCTTCAGCTATACCACAGATTAATACATCGGAAATTTAATAAGATGGCCGTGAAAATCTGTCTTATTTTAGGTTTATTAGGAAGTTATAAAATACCCCTACACTTAAATATTATCGTTCTATTAGACATTTTCGAACTGGAAAGTCCGTGACACAATACAGGTCTGTTGTCGTTTGGAGAGAGTGTACCTATTGTTTGCAATAGACAGTTTTACGATCTAAACTCGTCAGATAGGATCGTCAGCTATCTTCAGGCAAGTTTTTGACTAGCTGTCAGAAAAAAGGGAAACTAAGTCAAGAAGTCTCCAATCCCAATCCTCCCTCATTTCTTAATCCTTGTGTTTAACAGGACATTTTCACTTAATTCTTCTGGTGCTTTCTTGTATACACAGGTATGGAAGATCAATATTAACGGTTTCCTTTTACGTTGTATTCAATTTGAAGCCTAAAAATCAATTATAATTTACCTAACCTAGGTGGCAAAATCAGCAACGCCCACTAAGTGACTTTAGTGATACAGCAATTAAAATCAATAATTTACTTATTATATTATAGACCTACTTTAATTCTATATTCTATCTGCAAAATGTTATAATCATGTGCATCAATACTGAACAACATTATTTCAGTAGGCCTCTCCTTGCAAATATTTAAAAATAGCCTAAGCCTATTTGTACAGTAAATCATTTAACCTTTTTTTCCCACTGTATAGGATCCTGACTAGGCCAAATATATAGATAGGTGTACGGCTACATCTTTTCCATCTTAGAGTAAGTTAACGCATTGTCGCTAACAAGCATTCACCAGTTGTTAGCAATAAGATAGGTATTAAGTGATTTAACGTAGGCCTAATGCATAATTTAATTTTACTATCACAAGCTGCAAAGTTCAACAGGATGCATATTGATATTTCACGCTGGTGTTATAGCCTCCGTATCATCAATAAATATTGATCAAATTGAGTAAATCATTTCATTTGAAAACAATTTTAATAGCCTAGGTACTCTTTCATAGTAGGCCTACCATAAGTAGGGGAGATCTTGAAATTCTTCTGATCTATTGCTTAGTGTTCAGCAACCAGTTCTGGCACCTATTTCATGCCATCTTTATCATTCAATCAATCAATCTATGGTAATTATTTATTAAAAACAGACTCAAGCAAATGTTTAGATTGTGCATGGGCATGACACGTTCACTTTCTGTTAAAGACTGCCCCAAATAATTTGAGTGCATAAACATCTAGGACTGTTGTCTATCACTAAACAAATAAATATTCATACAAGATCTTGTTGTTTCTTTAGTTTGAAGAATGGCAGACTTTGGAGATAACCTGTCGGAACCTGAGGTTGACCCAGCAGCGGAGTTTCTCGCCAGGGAGCAGGACCAGTTAGCCGGCCTAGAGGACGAACTAAAGCCAGCGGTGACTAATGGTGGGTCTTCAGCGACTGCTTGTACATAAATTGGTTAATATTATTGTAGGCTGCCTAACTTACTACAGCAAAACCTTAATAACAAGTCTCTCTTGTAGGCCTATTTTTAAAAAAAGACTTGTTATCTAGGTCTAGGAATTTTTATCAAGGTTCATAATAACATGTGATAGAAGTACCTTAAAATCAATGGTAGCCTAATTGAAAATAAGCCTAAGCCTACATGTTATCAAGGGTGACATGCTATTGAGGGTCTTAAAATTGAGATTCTACCGTATGAGGAATTATTGATTATTTTAAATGTATCAATAATTGTTACGCTTTATGTCCAGATATTTTGTAACAAGAGATTTTAAACTTAAAACTTACTTTACCTATGTCAACCCACTATAACAAACTCGTAATGTTCTGGTTAATAGGCAATATTTTTATTTTTATTTTTTTGAAATTCACAAAAACTAATTTTTAGTCCAAAATTTCTTTTATTAAAAAACTGCACAAGCCAAAATTAAAACAAAAAATTAAATTAAGTTACAAACAATTAGTTAATACCTACTTAAATTTTATTAAGCTGAAAGGTATAGTTGAAATGGATAAAGTCATTCATAAGGTTGTGATATACGGTACGTGTAACAAATAAAAAATAACTTGCTGTTTGAACTTAGATGACACACAATATCTGTCCTATTTTTCTGCCTCATCAACTTTCATAGTTAACTACTTTTTATTCTGAATCCAAAGATGCCAACAGTTTTCTAGTGTTGACCTACATTAAACCAAAGTTAAAAAGTATAACAAACATGAAATATATGATAACAAATATTAAATTCTGTATAGAAAAATCATTAAAAAATGCTCAGCATATTAACAATTTACAATAATCAATTAAAACCCTGTGCTCACTGAAATCGATCTCTTTCAAAACAAGCAGGTCAACACTGACTTTGTAGTCACACAAGTAAAACTCAATGTTCAGTTAGTATGTTATCAGCTAATTTTATCAAAGTAAACTTTCCTTATCAATGGTGAGTCAGATCCAGTAGACAGTTGGATACCGGAATGTCGGATCTTCAGTGCAGTGGTGTGTTTATTTAAGTTTAGCATACCAAGTTAATGTTTTAAAAAGTTGTTAGTTTAACTATTTTTCTAAAAAAACTTGTTAACATTTTCCAGTTTTGAATGTTAAGTAGGTAGGCCTAAGTAAGTTTGAACGGAATATATTCAAACGAGGGAGAGTCTACTGTTCACCGGGTCTCTTATTGATAGGGAAGTTAGTAAAAGTAAACTTCTTTAATTTTGTAACAAATAAAAAGGTTGTGTTGCCCGATATCGCCCTATGGTCCAAGTTTTATCTGTGACTGGATTACGCATGTCTTGGCGATTCCTCGATTATCAGATCTTTAGAATATAATCTTGAAGAGGTGAGTCAGTAAAAAAACCAAGCACATTCATCACAAAATCATTAACAGACAGTTTGATAAAATAGGTAAAATAATATGGAGGTTTGTGTGGGTATGTGCATAATCCAATCACAAATCAATTTTACCGTAAGGCAATATCAGATAAACATAATAAATTAAACTGTCAAATTACCTGTCTGGAAACACTAGAACAAAAAATGAAGTTCTATAGTAGTAGGTAAGCCATGGTCAGGTGATAGTAAAGTAGGTTACGCTAGTTTTAAAAATATGTGGACTTGTTTTTATTATGTACAAATTAAAAGCTGTTCTCAAATGTTTATGCTCTGTTTTACGTTTGTTACATTGGTAATTTGCGTAGCAATATGCATATTTTCTCAGTTGATTATTTTTGCCGTACCCAATTATTTTTGAGTTGGTCGTTGTTGTTGTTGTTGTCTTGCATGTATGTGTTGTGTTTGTGAAGGCACGCCGCTAGACGGCACCGGCAGTTTTGAGATGATCAACACTCTTGGTCAAGGAGATGGCGGGTTCGAATCCAACAACTACGGCAACGGCAAGTATCATAATGTGAAAATAAATATACTAGAGACTTATAGTGAATCCCCGTTTTAGGAATTGGGAAAATCTGACTATAAATAACAATATGTTTTATACAAGTTTTATGAAACATCAATTCATGAGAGAAAGTAAGTTGCCCAAAAGTAAGGAACAAGTAGGCCTACGTCAAATAGAGCCCTCTTGGTTAACCAGAGCAGGGGTATCAGCTGGAGTCAGTAGTAGGGGTTCTTTTGTTTTTCTATGCGTTTTTAAGTTGGTGAATTATCTTTTACAAATTTTTTTTAAATAAAGATACCATTTGAATTTTTTGTGGACTCAATAATTTGTTAAATATCATGTTTTTAAAGGTCAGGTGACAAAAAATTATCAAGGTTAAAGCAGGTTAAGTATGGGTAATGGCAAACTTTATTACCAATGCAATGGGTTTAGAATGTTTAGATAGTTAGAAAATAACCTATAATTAAACTCACAGCTTAAAGAAAATATGCCTGGATATTTTTAAAAACCTTGCTCATCTACAACTGTAAGAAAATTGTTTTTGTATGAAAGAAAATTGTTAAACCTCCAATCACATTGTAGACAAAACACAAGAAATAAAAATAGTAAAAATTAATGTGTTTATCAAACAATATTTATAAATAAGACATTATTTTACCTTGAATTCGACTAGTGATTCCTTTACATAAATGGATGTTCGTGATTTGAGACAAAAACAAAAATGGAAATAGGCCTATATTGTAGTTTAGTAGATTGGGAATGAATGTAGGGTAGTTTATCTGTATATCTTGCACTAATTATTTTACTAATGCATGCGTATATTTGCATGGTGCATCTTGGCACAAACTTCTTCTTTATTCTTTATTTGCACTTTCTGCTTCAGAACTCGGTGATTTTGTTTCCTCTGAACCTACTGTAGATTTCTTCTCTGGTGAGTATACAAATTGTTTGCATTATTGTGCATTTGCTTTTGAATCGCTTTTTGCCATTTTTCCAGATGTTTTGTAATTAAGAGTTTTAAGTTTTAAATGTACATACTGTGTTATTCTTCCAATTGAATTGCAGATTTAATTATCTAAATATTTTAATATATTTCAATTTCATAAAATAGTTTTTTCGTCAACTTTTTTTGTAATTTTGTAATTTTGTTTGAGTTAAGCCTCCGAATCACTGATCAATATGTGTACTGGTGCAATTAGCTGCTGTCAAGTGATCCTTATGACCTTGAAAGGCGAGTCTAGACTCTTCTCCCGTGTTGCCAGCAGCTTAACCGATCGGTTTAATAGTTTTGGCCCTTTTTACATGTTTTGTGTATCTGTGACTAAACGTATTGTAATAAATGTTTAAATGTTTTTTTTTAAAACCACGTGTTTCTAATAACAAAATAAAGATAACGACATTCTCGTGTAGATGGTCCCAAGAGGATCGAACCTGGTCGCCTTTCAAGGTCATACAGATCAAGCACCAGTTCAAGTGATGGTTTTTGTTTCTCTAACTTTTCCAATGCAATGATTTTAATAGTTCTGTTTATAACATTCTGCACTATAACTGCTTTGATGTGATGCTTTTGGCAAGGCTAACACCGCTTTTTCCACAGAAGATCCAGTAATTGAAGAAACATCTACTCCCCCTCAAACTGAAGAAAAAGGTAACATTAAATTTCTTGTGACAAAAATATGGAAAAAATACTGTTTAGTAGTAAACTGTTGTTTTAGGTGTTTGAGGTATTATTGCAGACATTTTCCGTCATGATTAGTAAAAAACAAATTTTAACGTTTCGAGATCTTGAATCTGATCTTGGTTTCAGGTTAGAAAGTTAGGTTAGAACAGCTGATAAGTCAATGGAGTAAAATAAAACAGGGATACCAACATATGAGCTTGTATTGTCACTAAACAGTGTCTCACAGTAATCGTAATTTGGGTTGCATTAAAAAAAGCACCTTGTATAAACAATTCAGCTGCAATTAGTCAATGGGGTTTTTTCCCTTGACGTTACCAAATGTTCTCTTCAGAAGGTGAGTATAGGGCCATGAAATAAAAAACTTTGCTTTTTTGCTCAATTTGATTTTCAAAGCTTGGCGATTTAGTACCAGCATGCTTTTCAATGCTTGGACTGATACATTTTTTATTGATTTTTATTTAATGTTTAAAATTATTTGGGTGTCAATGTCGAATAGTTTTGACTGCCCATCAAGTTATTTGGTTAAACAATATTTTTCTAAAAAAAAAATTATTTACGTTATTGTCTTAGTTTTTTGTTAAACAAATATTTTGTTGTTCAGTAATAATTTAGAACTTCAAGAATAAGTTCAAGAATAATTTGATTTTTTTTCTCAATAAATGCTAACATTCTTACTGTAAAATATCTTCAATTTGTTGAGTTCTTGAGATTTAAGAATTAAAGGCTCCAGTTACCGTAATCAACATTTATTTTGCTGGGAATAAAATATGCTATGTTATTGCAACCTACATTCCTTACTTACTTACTGCCGTGGCTCTTGGTACCCAAGGTGGTACTTTGCCTCGCCAACACACTGCCTCCAGATTTTTCTATCCATTGCCTCATCTTCCCTTCTTCCCAGTCTTCTCAGGTCTTTTCTAACCTGGTCTCGCCATCTCAACTTGGGCCTTCCTGGTGGTCTTCTGCCCTCCGGATTGTTCAAAAGGACGTTCTTGACTAAGGAGTCGTCCTCTTTCCTTAGTAGATGGCCAGCCCATCTCATTCTCCTACCTCTCACCTCGGCCACTATGTCTGGGTCCATATATAATTGCCTTAACTCTGCATTGTGTTTTATCCTCCACTCTCCATCTTCAATGGTTGGACCATATATTTTTCTCAATATTTTGTTCTCAAATACTATCAAACGTTTTTCTGTTTTTTTACTTAACACCCAATTTTCTGAGCCATATAACAGAACTGGTCTTATAATGGTTTTATATATACGGAGTTTTGTTTTGTGTGATAGTATTCGAGAGCTTAATAGTTTGTGGGATGCTGATAGACTTCTGTGTGCTGCATTTATTCTTTGTTGTATTTTCATATCTTCTTCATTGTTATTCGTCAGCATTACTCCCAAATAAGTGAAGTTGTTTACTTTTTTAAAGTTGTACCCTTCTATTTCTATATTGTTGTCATTGTTTATTTGGGTTGCTCTCCCACACTCCATTATTTTTGTTTTCCCTTCATTTATTCTTAAACCAACTTTCTTTGTATGGTTTAGGAGTTTTGTGACCAGCATTTTCAACTCTTCTTTACTCTCCGCTATAATTGCAACATCATCTGCAAATGCAAAGACGTTTATTTTGGTCCCTATTGTAATTCCAGCTTCTGTTTGTCTTACTTCTTGTAGTGCTTCCTCTAAAGCTAAGTTAAATAGCAATGGGGACAAACCATCCCCCTGTCTTAAATTGCAACCTACATTATATAAAATAAATGTTTGATTTCTTATTAAATTCAGTTTACAATCACTATGAAAATATCTGAAACAAACATTTTTATGGACGCAGCAGTAAAACCATCTTCACCAGATTCTCAGAGTAAGTAAATTTCTGGTGTCCAAAAAGCTTTTGAAATCCATATTTTAAGTTATATAAATCTATCTTTACAGTTTGTTCTAACTGGTTAATTCAAAAAATGACCCTTACTATTTTGCATGTTACAAAGCTAAGTAGAAAATGTAGATAAATGTTTAGTTCTAAACTTGCGCAAGCTATGGAAAAGCTTTGCAAAATGGTAATATTCATTGGTGGTGGTAATAGTGGTTTTAAAAATTTAAATGGTTTTGGTTTATTTTGCTTAATTTTTCCTGATCAACTGAACTTACTTTTGCTTCTTAGAACTGTTCAGAGATTTTTTTTTTTTTTTTTTCTATTTAGTTCAGAGATTTTTTACGAAATAATAACAATCAATTGGTATTAGTGTTTCATTTAAATCTCTTCTTAGTAACTTAGTAAAGTTTTTTTTATCTAAAGCGTTTCTTAAATGAAATTTTGTACCACAACTGTAGCGAATCAAATTTTTATGACATTTTATGATCTGTAGTCTGATCTTCTTGTCTTTAAACACACAGAACTCAACAAGATTAATACATAATTTAGACGCAAACAAAAAAGATGACTTAATCAAACTATGTACTTTTTTAATAAAAGATTGTCGACAGCTGTTCCATATAGAAGGGATTTCTTCTTCAGTATCCATTAGTCAATAATTCAACTTCACCAACAACAATGGTCTCTAAACTCAAATTATTACGTCCTGTTTAGAAATCTTAGCCGATGTAAAGTTTACTGTGATTGTGATTTTGATGGTTGTTTTAACGACAGAAGCGACACCGCAGTCAACCCCAGTCAAACACCAACCTGCGCGAGAGGAGCCGGAGAAAATTAAGAAGTGGCGAGAGGAGCAGAAGTCAAGACTAGAGGAGAAAGGTAAATAAACGGTCTCAGCAAACTGACACATACTTTGTCCCATTAGCTTGTTGAAACCTCTTATCATGGGTAGGGGAAGCAGTGGGAGGATAATTAAGGGAAAAATTACAAAAATTGCTATAACTTTTGAATCGTAATTGTTATAGAAAATTGTACCATTTTGTCCAGGGTTAAAATAGCTAAAGCGGTTTTCTAGCCGATTTTGTGAAAATAAAATTTTGTTTTTATTTAATGGGGTTTCATGAAAAAAATCACTATTTAAAATTTTCAAAAACTTCCAAATGTTAAAGTTTAAACTAGACAAAGTAAACATTTATATCTAATTGTATTTTCACCTGGTTTCCAGACGCAAATGAGGAGAAAAAGAAGGCAGAGTTGCGGGAAGCTGCCAAGAAGGAGTTAGAAGAATGGTACAAACACCACGAGGAGCTTATAGCAAAGACCAAAGCTGATAACCGGTAAGACTTAACCCAAATATTCCTGTTTAACGTCAATCTATTGAACAGTAGATATATCAGGTGGAATCACTTGTTGAGTAAAATTCAAGCTGTTGTAAGCCATTTTGTGGTTAGGGGAAAATATAATGGAGTAAAATGTAGGAACGCGTATGAAACCTGGGAATTTCAAGATTTCAAGATAAAAAACACAATTCTTAAACTAACAAAAATCCTTCTGATTTTCAGGAAGAAAGTTTATTAATTAACTTCAACTTAGCGTATGTTTATAGTCTATGCATGATGACTTATGGGGTGAAATTTTGTTTTATACACTGATATCAATTTTGTTATTTAAATAAATGGTTCTTTATTTTTGAACACTGGATCTGCTTATCTTTTTGGCGGTAAGAAATTTTCCAGTACCGTGAAATCATTTAATCTTTTCTTTATCAAAATGGCAATGCTGCTTAGTATATTTTTAGCCACAAAGATGGATAAGTATTGTAATTAAACTTTAAAATGTTTAATACGCGAAAGAAAATATTTGTTTTACTGTTTTCAAACACCTACCTTGTAAAAATTTTGTGTTAGTTATATTTTTATCACTTTTTTTAATAAACCCAAGATATTTGGTAGTTGTGATAGTTTTAAGCTGATTGAACTAAAAAAAGGCATAAAAGATAATAACTTTTTACATTTTTTGTGTTGTAGCAAGATTAAATGTCGTTCAGTTCCATTTCAGCAATGATTTAGGGTCTACACCAGCTGCAGACAATTCATATGTGAACGTTAATTACATTTTTGTTACACCTTCGACTCTAGATTGACTATGTAGTGTAAATGGGAAATTCCATTCTATATGGAAGCTGGAGCAATTCTTAGACTAATGATGAGCCAATAAGCGGAATCAAAAGTTATTTTATTCAATAAACATTGTTCTTAGTAAAATTATGCCTAAACCGATTAATTTGAGACCTCAACAGTCGAGGAGTAAATATTAAGTCTTCAAAAGTCGACTTGTCTTACTTAGCTTATAGGTAAATTTTAGTACTATTTTAGTGATCAAAGTTTTTGGTAATCTGACTCCCTGATCCCTTAAGTGTTGGATTACCAAGAGCTTTATAGAGGAATATCTTTGTCAAACAACGTTACAAATGACATATTTTTCAAAATTAAATTTTAAAGAACAGCAATAAAAATTGCGTTCTATATTGTGTGGGATATTTCATTTTTAAAAATACATAGGTTGGTAGCACTTACAAGTGATTGAATGCACAGGAAACTGCTGTGTTGACATTAGCATGGTGTTTTCTGAAAAAATTCACTTTTATAACTTGCAACGTTGTTCGGCGGATATTCAGATATCACAAAACATGAGCTTGGCTGAGCTTTAAGTTTGAGTTCTATCAAGTTTGAGTTCTAACAAGTTTGAGTTTTCTAATAAGTTTGAGCTGGCGAAGTTCTAACATTCATGGAACAGTGTTGCAAGGCGATAGCTTTCTTAAGTTGCCAGGCTGATCCAAATGAAACTCAAAAGCTGATGCTAATATTTCAATTGTTTTACGCTTGCTTAGGGAATCTGCATTGTAAGTATGACTCAAATATTGTTTGGTTTTGCCGTTAATGTGTTTTATGGTATTTAATTATAATTTATTGGCTTGGGTAAAACTTTTTTGCTATTTAGAACGTGTTTGACTCTTTTCTGTCGGTCTATTTAATTTAATTGTTAGTCTTTTTACATTTTATTTTAGTAGCTTTTTTATGTAGTGCTGTTTAGATTATACGGTTTTTGAAGTAAAAACACTTGGCTTAGGCTAAGAAGAGGTAATTGATACCACAAAAAATATAGAAGTTTTTGGGTAAAATATTTAATCAATGGCGTTGTGAGCTTTGTGTGTGCTATGAACTGGCCAGAATTAATTTCCGAAATTAAAGAGTAATTTTTCTATTTCTTCTTATAGATTGTATGTTTAGCCGGTACTGTAATTGGTAGTATTTTGATCTTGATTAGAAATATATCTTTATGGAGTTTTAAATGTTGTAGCATTGTATTTTCTGTAAGTTTTTTGTTAAAAGTTTTGATCTTTTTGTAGTGGATTTAAAAAAATATTGTCTCACAACATAATTTATTCTAAGAACAACATTATTTTTTTAAGTTTGTTATTATCTGAATTACTGTGACATCAAACATAAGCATGACGTCCAAAGGAAACGCCACAGCCAAACATTCTTTCTTCAAGGGTGTGACTGAATGCACATTTATTCTTTACTATTTCTTGGTAACCTTCCTTACTTTTAAATCATTTTCATCCTTTATTTTATTTAAATGATATCTTTATTATTAATCTTTTCTTTCATATTAAGTTCATTTTTAAGGGCTGAATCGTATTTCAGTAATAAAAGTAATGTCTAATCCTTACATCAATCACTGTACTCCGCCTTTTAACTTCTGTTTTAGTTTTAAACCAAAACAGTTAAATATGAGTTAATATTTTGTAAAACCATATTTAGATAACAAATATAACTAGTGTTTGTCTGTTCCTTTACAAAAGACTATTAAAAAATGTAGGGAAACACAAAACTTCTATTACTTTGAAAGTTCGTTGTGGTAACACCTTTTAAAGGTTGTTAAAGGGTATAAATAGATGTATTTCATATTATTTCATATCATTTGTTGTTAGAAAAAGCAATCAGAAAGAATAGATTTTTGAAAGGCTACTAGATCAAAAAACTTCAATTAATTTAAGTGCTTGAGTGAAAAAGGATTTTGTCTTTTATTGTTAACACTAATAGAAACACCAATAGAAAACTACAGAAACGCAAATAACCCATTTATTATAAAACAGTGTTATTTGGCAATGACAAAATACATTGTTCATTGTTGGCATTTCAATTTATTAGCGAATTTCCCTATAGGGAAGTAGCTATTACCGTAGGTCTCATGGTAAGACTTAGGCCCGGGACCGATTTACTTTTTCATTTTGATGTCCCCAGAGGCCAAAAACACCATTCGTTCAAATTTTTATATATGTATATATATATATATATATAGGTATATATATAGATTTATATATATATGTGTCCGTGAACACGATAACTTGAGTCATTTTTATCCGATTTTGATGAAATTTGGTTTGAAGGTGTAAGGCGGGATAAACTTGAATGAGTTCGCGATCCAGCATGATCGGACCATGGGAACAGGGTTTTATGGGGGGTTTTATGGGGTAAAAATTGGTTTTTCTCACTTTTGACCCTCAAAACACAAAATTTCCCAATTTTTCTCTAAACTTTCTTAAAGAGCTTAAAAAAACAAACAATTCAGTATATCAAAGTGTTTTTGTACGGTTATTGGTTACGGAGAAAACTAAAAAAATGGTAAATTTAAAATTTCCATGTTATTCTTATGGAGAATATTGTAAAATGTTGTAGTTTGCTTGTTTATGGATATATTTTGATCAAACTTGGCAAATTTATTTATTTTATAGTAAGCTACCAATATTTTACTAAAAACACACTTTATTAGTTTCCTTGTAGCAGCAAACCTAGGTACTCGTTAAACCTAATGATATTTAAATAGATCAATTGAAAATCAATTCAGCCAAATGGAAATTCGCTTAGACGGCAGGTTTGCTGCGGCGGGGGTATTAAATATCCAATTTAAGGTATGGAGACACAATGAGCTGATTAACGACTGTGGTTTACAGAAATGCAGAGAAGCAGTTTGTCGCGGAGGCTGACGCGATCGAGCCCGGCACCGAATGGGAAAGGATTGCAAAATTGTGCGACTTCAACCCCAAATCATCGCGCACCAGTCGCGACGTTTCCCGCATGCGGTCCATCATCCTGCAACTCAAACAGAGCCCGCCCAACAAGTCTGTTTAACATTCCAATGTGTAAAATATGTATCTGTTAGTTTTAATATAATTTATATTCCATTGTCATCGTGTTGAAAATATTGAGTTTATAGATATCATCTAATGGTGTGAAACGATGTAATAAATGTTTATGAATGTATGGTGTGTTTTTAGTGTGTTCCCTTGCTGCGTACTAAGTGTAAGATAGAAGTGTAAGATTACTAAAAAACATTTTCTGGATTGGGCATAGTGTTGCGTGTTCGCTTTTTAGTTTACTCTTAAAGAAAAAAATTAAACAAAAAATAGTGTCCCAACAGGAATTTTTTTTACATTTAATTAAATACGTGTTCTAGAATCATGGTCTTGTACGTGTTAAATTCTACGAATCACTACTCTCACTCTCCGACGTTACGGCCTCGATATAGAGCACCATCCTCAGGGCTACGTCGCAGGTTATAACTGGATGGGGGGGGGGGGTCCAGCATTGTGTGTGGGGGCTGACATGTTTACTCCCCCCAAACCCCAATCCCCACCCCTCCAGATATTACCTGCGACGTCGCCCTTGAAGAGTCACGTCACCCTGAGGATGGTGCTCTATATCGAGGCCGTAACGTTGGAGCGTGAGAGTAGTGATTCGTTCAATTTTACATGGCCGTTACCAAAAGACCACAATTCTAGAACAAGTGGAAGACTATCCAAGAAGAATTCTTAGAGTTTTGCAATAATGATACATAAGATACAAATTAAAATATTTTATTTTACAGAACATCACAAATCCAAATCATCCGTAAACCAACTCTGTTCTCAACTTGGTAAAAAAACCACAATCACAGACCAAACTTGTTACAATCATTTGTACATTCATTACAATCTAAATCTTGCATAAACATTTTTTAATAACAAAACATGATATCCTACAAGGTGTTTAAGGTGGTGGAAAATATATAGAAAGGTGTGGTACAAATCTATTGTATAGGTTTATAAAACCTTATCTTTTTAGTACAAATATTTTATGTATTGCGTTGACTTTGACACAATCAGGTTTGAAGGGTAAAATTTGTATTGCAACATAAAAAAGAAAAATAACTGTTCATATTTAACATCAAAACGTTCAGTTTACTTTATTTTTACTGCTTCAACAGTTTTAGCAAATTTCCCTTTGCATGTTACGGTAAAAAAAAAACTTACAAAGTATCTGTGGCTATTAAATATGTCGCTAAAAATATTCTTGATACTGGATTGACTTGTACCATATAAGGTTTTGTCAAGAGAAATTTTATTGAAATTCTTGTAAGATTTTGAGAACTTCTTGATGTTCTTGAACTTCAATTTTTAATTTTTAGTTAATTATCATTAAAATATCAACTTTGAAAACAAGAAAAATTCTCAGATAAAAAGCTTTAGATTATTTATTTTTTATTTTTGGATTGAAATGTTTCATGTTGGTCATTATTGATTTTTAAAGGTATTACAATGAATAAACCACAAAGTAGACTTTTATACATAAACGTAATTTCAGATTCAAAATCAATCTGTAAATTTCTTATGTGATTTTTAATACTACAAATATCAATGCTAAATCTATAATGTTTTCTACAGTACAAAAATTAAGAATCAAAATGGGTACTACTCACAATAATTGAACAACATACAGGGTAAACATTAATTGCACAATATTTTTTAAATTGATTTGAGATGTTACATTTCTTTATAATACCAAACTAACAAAATTTCTAGTAAACAAAGCTCTTTGAAATATTTCAAATAAATTGTATTGTTTAAAGAAAACTGATACAGTTGTACCAAAACAAAATATTGATGACACGGTTATAACTTTTAATCAGTTTTCAAAAAACCAAATCACTTGAATCAGTCACTTCAGCAAAATAAAGAATCACATTCTTAACAAACCTAACCAAAACATAACCTCAATCAGAACAAGCTACTTCTAACAATGGAAATATTTGTAAATGACTCGGTAAAATATATACACACTAAAGTATACAATATCTTCATGTATACATTTATCACAACAAATGAATACAAAATAGCATTAACAATACTCAAAACGCTACTAGCTAAATCAAGGCCTCTAAATAGAATATCGCAAAATTACAGGGACTCCAACATTGACTTCTTCACAAGATACAACAGGCTTTGGGGACAAGACTTTAAAACGTTCTTTCACTCGACACAAAATATCTTGAGACACGAGAATGGTTTGAACAGTAAAACCTGAATAATGTAAACTAAATTAATTGGGGTGTCCTAAAATACCTAAAATAGTGTATCAATGAATTAATCTGTGTATAAACAAAAACATTCTAGTTGGGTATAATTACATTGAAAATAATGGAACAAAAAAATGGAATCGTGAGTAAATATAAACAAAAAGGGTTTAGAGCGAAGATATATGTACATTAACACGTATTTATGCAATACAGACAATTCACATTATGAATTTTGACAGTCATTGTTACCAAACATCTTTTTGTCTGATCGCACGCTACTTAACAGTTTGATAAAAGCTGACTGTCCAGTTTTAACGAATTTTACTCAATAATGGGGTATGGATAAGGGTAAAAACACTTGGAGAAGAGCAATTGACAAGAAAGTATCAAGCCAAATTTATTTAGCTCAGCAAATTTTTAATTTTTACGCTTATACGTAGTAGGAAATGGCCCAAGATATTTTGTGTCAGGAAGAATTAAATATCTCCTCTAGAATATATACATCCAGCATATATTTTTTCATCTTACTACTTCTATTTTGGCAGTATTCACTAGAAACGACTAGAAATACCAAAATATAAAAGCTGACCTATTTGAGCTCAACTCCTACAGTTAAACTAATTTGGCTTTGTTAATGACAATGGGATGCTAAATTCGTTCTAGAGGGTTGATGGTATATGTTATTTACAAGGTTCCTTCAGTTACAAATATAGTGTTCTATCATTTATGGGTGTTTAAGTTTTAAAAACTGCATGAGCAGTATTAAAGAAATAACAAATTTTGTGTTGGAAAAAACATTAATATAACTTTTTTACACAATAATGCACAAAAAAATCTTTTGTCACAAAATATTTAATCTTAAAAGTTATAAACATTCTTTAAAAAAAATCATTACTAATAAAAAAAATCATAAACGTTTTGTCAAGTTTTGTTAGATGTATACAAAACTTACAGTTATTGTACCGTCTCTAATCTAACTACCATTAAACTTTCTCAAAAAATCCATATAAATATAAAATGAATTTTTTACTCACGCACACTAACTAAATTAAATATACAACTTTTATGCTAAATCACAATAACTTTCACACAAACCATGTACACACTACGTAGATAGGTAGTAACAATTGGAAAACAAAGTCTTTAAATAAACCGTTGGCGTAAACACTTGAACGATTGCTGTTTCGGTTTGTCATTTGATAGTGTCAAAGTTGGTCGTCAATCTTACGGGCAACTCCCTTGATCTGGTAGTACTGCAACAAAATATTTACTCAAAATGAAGTTTGAACTGTTCTATACACATGCCTTAGAATGTAACATGAGCCTAAAATTGAAACGGAGATTAGAATATTTTATATTTTTGTCTCACCAACCCGTCCAAGAAATTTTGTTAAGGAGTATTTACTGAATTTAATCAAGGGTTGAAATAAAATAAAATTACAACAGCATCTTCTTCCTTCTGCTCAACCAAAGACGCTGATTAAAAAATAATAGCTTATTCTCTATATGGGAAATTCACTAAAATGTGAAGAAACTGAAAATTACGAACCAGGCGCAGGTTCCTCCTCAGTGTCAGTATCGCTGAGGTCGTCGGGGCCGAGACAACCTTTTGAGTAAGCCTTACTCTCTTCACCTGTCGCGCGGAAACTGATCAGAGGTTTGAGTGCGGCTCGTAGAGACAGGAACAGACGAGGAAACAGAATCTCTTGTTGGGCCAACAGCTGTTTGGTGCGATACCTCTCCTGAACAAATATATGTTAACTTGATGTAGGTTTTAAGGTTGTGGAGAAACTTAATGAGGATAAATGTGAATTTACGTAAATGAATATGGATTATTGTACATCAATGAATGAAGCTTAAGCTTACGTTATTGAAAAATATAATTTATTTACTTTAAACAGAAGGGTGTACTAATGTTGGTTTAGTTTAACTTTCTGAGCCCAGATATTGTCTATTGTAAATAATGTCCATTTTCAAAATAATTTTCCCATCATGAATACAATGATCCCAATTACAACGCCACAGTAGTAGTTATAAACTCATCTACCAGACATAAGTGAATGTTTAGTACTTCAGGTTCTGCATTTGGAACTCAAAGAGTTAAGTACTGTAAAGTCAAGACACTTTTTAATTTTTACAAAATAACTTCAAATTTACAACAACATTTGAGGTTGAAATATTTCCTAGACAAATTGTTATAACTACACTAGTAGTTGTAACCAATGTCCATGAACCAACTTGCCCGTTTGAAGGGTCGTTTGTACCTTTTGAAGCTTAAGTTTGACCAGGCCGTTCCGTAGCAAGAGTGGAACAAAAAACAAATTATCAAGTTGAAAATGTATTGTCAAAATGCAAAGTTATCAAAAAAATAAATTCATGTAGAATAGGGAACGTACTTTGTCCATCTTCGGTCTTGTGCACTATTCTGAAAATGATAGGCCTACTAGTTTTGGGTCAAATAACCGATTAAGAAATCTGACTTCAAATTTATGAAGGTTTTAATCCGACAAACGTTCTAGTCACTATCTAAATACCGATACAGTACGATGAACACTAAGACATTTGACAGATTTGAACCTTTTTTAATTTGATGTCGGATTTGATAATAGGACACAACCTGAAATTAGTAATCCTAGGAAAATTACGCAAGTCTGGAGAGGGACAAGGTACGTACGTAACCTGTTTTATGTTTGATTCATCAGTCTCAGTGGCAAGAAAGCTTACATTTTAACTAATCAAATGAATCAGTAACCAAAATAGTAGTAGTAAAATGAGCTGCATAGAGCTTAGTTTTATTTTCCAACTAAAAATCATGATATTCCAGTATTTAGACCTTTCTTAACTTTCTATCTTTTGATGAGCTTTTAAAAGTGCTAAATAATGTTCTTAAAGTTTTTTTCTCATGAAATCAGAAATTTTTTAGAAGTTTAACTTCTTGAGATAATGACAATATTATCCTTCAAAACATGTCTGGTTCTTTTAAAACATCTTCAAATAATTTAAATAGCCATGCAATTCAGAAAGAGGAACTGTGGAATATAAAAGAATATCGAGAATATTAGTCAACGCTCATGCCAACTAGAAAGGTAACAGATACATACTTTTATACCTAAAATTGTAAAACATCGACAAATTATTTTACAAAAGGAGTAAATAACCGAACGAGAAATACTTGCATACCTTAGGTGCTTCAAAACAGGCCGGACAATTCTCGGGGATGACTGGAAGATGGCGACTCTCTGCAAACTGTCGGAGCGATCGTTCTCTCACGTAGACAAACGGACGACAAACCCTCAAATCTCGCTCTCTGCAGAAACCCACAAAGTAATTTAGTAAACAAGTTGTGGCTTGCAAAGTATTGCAAGCGTGGATATGTATCATTAAGTGGAGTATAGATCTTACAGAGATAAAAGGGGTAAAACTGGATCTAAGTACTGAGATATACTAAATTTGTAATTAATTTTTTTACTGATGAATTCTAAAAATTATGGAGACTATAGGGTGGCTGCATATTGTTTTTCTTCGTAAAGTTATGAATTACAGCTGTTAATTTGAACACCTTGAATTGAGTGAAAAATCTACTATAAAAAAATTGGTCATAAAAACTACATTGTGTTCTATGCTGAACCTGAAACCGAAACTATATAAATGTTTTTTTGTCCAATGTAGTTTGAAAACACTGTCTATCTGTGGTCATACTCACTGCAAACCAAAGGTTTAATTTGCTATTTTTCTTAAAAATAAAAATAGTTGGAGATTAACACAATGTTACCTTATGTAGTAATGTGCCTTCATAGAGCGTAGACGGCCATTGTGAAAAGTGGACATGAGAAAACTCTCAGCGAGATCATCTAGATGTTGTCCGAGTGCGAGAACATTGTAACCCTCACGCCGCGCAGCAGCGTACAGCCTTCCACGCTTCATACGACTGCAGAAACTACATATGGACTTACAGTCAACCGAGGAGGCTGCGTCTAGAATAGCTGCAACAATGAACAAATAATTTGAGTAACAAGTAAATGTTTATATACATATTTTCATGGTTGAGTGGAATGGGTATTTTGATTTTAGGGCATTATTTGTAATAAGATAGATGTTTTGTTTTCGACGTCAACCTCAGTTGCTAGGCAGTGACTAACTAAAGATGCTGTTTCATAAAAGGGATGGAACATTTTGCCAGCAAACTTCATAGTCCAGCATCTATAGGGGGTTGAGTATGCACTGAAAGTCTAACTCTTTTTGACTTTTGATTGTTGTTGGGGGAATCTTGGAGATGACAAAAACCGATGTTGTCGCCCTCCCAGCAGGTGCACAGCTTGGGGGGGAGGGGGGGAAGGTGCTCTGAGACGCGTACTAGGAAATCGCTTATATCTCGCGAACTAGACACGATAGAAACAAGCTCTAAACGGCATTGTATTAAAATTGTATTCATCTGCTTTAAAAAAATATCCAGGAAAAGTCCCGTATCTATGGTATTAGTTGAGTTATTTAACAATTTATTTAAAAATTTGAATAAAAACCCCTAAATAACGTTAAACTATCCATTAAAACCCCTTTAAAACAACAAACAGTACAGTTTTTCATTGTGCATAATATGTTTAACACGCTAAAGTGACTTTATATGGTAATTATATCGAAATACTACAAGGTTATGCGAGGTTTCCGATGAAGCGGCACGGTGACGCGGGTGACGCCGCTGCGCGGCAGAAATGGACCTGTAGTGCAGACACGTAAAAATTGGGTATGTACCGAAAGTGGAACGCATTTTGACTTTTGATTGTTGTTGGGGGCACCTTGGAGATGACAAAAACCGATGTTGTCACCATTCCAGCAGGTGCACAACTTGGTTGAGGGGGGGGGGGAAGTAGCGCTGAGGTGCGACTGTTCTAGAACACAGCTCATATCTCGTGAACTAAACACGATAGAAACATGTTTTAAACGGCATTGTATTACATACCGCATCTGCTTAAAATATTTTACAATGAAAAATCCCATATCAATGATAATAATTGAGTTATTTAACATTTTATTAGAAATTACAAATTTAAAGTCATAATACCGTTTATCTACCTATAACTCTCATAAAATAATGAATAGTAGGCCACTGTGTTTGGAGTGCATTCTATGTTCAACACACGAATTACAAAAAATTAAGTGTACTGCACTTTCCTTAAAATAATATGTACGGAGTATTCGAGTTGGCGAGAAAATAATTATAAGCTGTTTTTAACACAAGGCTATTTTAAATATAAAATTCAAACAAAAATCCAGGTACAACTACCAAAGAAAATGCATTAGTTTGAAATGCATAAGGTTTTTATTAAAAGAATATTAAAATAAACTTAGAAATGTTGTACTTCATTTTAAAACTTAACTACCATATAAACTACACATAAGAAAACAATATATACTATTTCGGTCATCTTGTTTGAAACGATCTTAATGATGTGGATTTTTACAATTTTTAAAACATTTGCAGTAGAAGCAGCAGGATGACTGTTTGAAAAGTAGTCCAAAATTTATTGGAGCCGGGGGCAGGGTCATAAGAAGAGGGCGCAATTTTCCTGAGCTGTCTTTGAAAAATCCGTACTGGAATAGATCTAAAGGCTCTTTTTCTGCTGTCAAGGACTTTTCCCAAAAATATAGTTGGGCACTACACCGTACAGGTGTAATTTGAAGCTGTCCGGTGTGCAAGTTATTTTCCTAATGTCCTTGACGGCAGATGGATTAGTTGTGATTTCTTTATAGCGGCTGTCATTGCAGGTGCTTCCTTTTCTTCTTAATCCTGCTGATCCTACTGCAAATGTTTTAAAAATTGTAAAAATCCTTATCATTAAGACCGTTTCAAACAAGATGACCGAAATAGTATCCATTGTTTTCTTATGTGTAGTTTATATGGTAGTTAAGTTTTAAAATGAAGTACAGCATTTCTAAGTTTATTTTAATATTCTATTAATAAAAACTGTAGGTATACATTTCAAACTGAAGCATTTTTTTTTGCACTTGTACCTAGATTTTTCTTTAAATTGTATATTTAAAATAGCCTAGTGTTAAAACAGCTTATAATTATTTTCTCGCTAACTCGAGAACTCCGTACATATTATTTTAAGGAAAGTACAGTACACTTAATTTTTTGTATTTTGTGTGTTGAACATAGAATGCGCTCCAAACACAGTGTGGCAGCCTACAGAATGGCTTGTAGTGGCAACTGGAAGTATAATGCCTCCAGTGAGCACACAAGAATTGTAGACAAGGTGCAAAAGAACTCCTTGGAAATGCTACCAGACAGGATGGTGAAGATCACAGATCTAGAAAAACCATACAATTTCAACATTGTTGACAGGGATGCCTGGGATAGGGGTGAACCTGAATTCATGAAAAGGGGGATCACCTGGTATACGGATGGCTCGAAAAAGCCAACGGGCACGGGGGCTGGAATATATGGAGTCAGACCCAAGGTGCAGTTATGCGTAAGTTTGGGAAAAATGGCTACTGTATTCCAGGCAGAAGTGGTGGCCCTGTCTGAGTGTGCGAGAGTGTGTTTGAAGCGTGGTCTTATTAGGTCACACTATATACATGAACTCAGACAGCAAAGCAGCACTAATGGCACTTGACAGTTTCGACTTTACCTCCAAGGCTGTATGGGACTGTCATCAAGCCATGAAAGCCCTGGGAAAGACCAACAGGATCATCCTTAGTTGGGTTCCAGGGCACAAAGGTATTGCTGGCAATGAGGGAGCTGACAAGTGGGCAAACAAAGGAGCTGAAAGCCCGCTCATGGGTCCAGAGCCGACGTGTGGTATTGCTTACAACACAGCACGGAGAGCTGTTTGCCAGTGGATGGGCATAGAACATCAAAGGAACTGGGAAAGAACAGAAGGAAATGTACAGTCAAAGAGAATGCTGAAGGCACCTACAGGTGCGATAGCGGCAGAAGCCCTTGGGCTGAGTAGGAAGACCCTGCGGAAGGTGGTTGGCTTTATTAGCGGCCATTGGGTATTCCGTGGACATTTACACAAGATGGGAATTCAAGTTGAAAGCCTCTTATGTAGGAAATGTGGAGAGGAGGAGGAGACAGCATTCCACGTGATATTTATGTGCCCAGCCCTACAAGGTCTGCGCATGAGATCCCTTGGCCTATCGACTGGAGATCAAAGGGAAGAACGGGTCACCATTGTCAAAAGGATCTCACGGTTCACAAAGGACCTGGGATTTGACAAAGAATGAGGACCTGTGAATGAGGGTGCACAATAAGCTGTTCTAGCTGCGATGCAATCCCATGGTTACTTGAAGCCTGGCCCTCTATTAAAAAAAAAAAAAAAAACACAGTGTCATTCATTGTTTTATGAGAGTTATAGGTAGATAAACGTTATTTCGACTTTAAATTTGTAATTTCTAATAAGATGTCAAATAACTAAATTATTATCATTTATATGGGATTTTTCATTGTAAAATATTTAAAGCAGATGCGGTTTGTAATACAATGCCGTTTAAAACATGTTTCTATCGTGTTTAGTTCACGAGATATGAGCCGTGTTCTAGAACAGTCGCACCTCAGCGCTACTTCCCCCCCCCCCCTCAACCAAGTTGTGCACCTGCTGGAATGGTGACAACATCGGTTTTTGTCATCTCCACGGTGCCCCCAACAACAATCAAAAGTCAAAATGCGTTACACTTTCGGTACATACCCAATTTTTACAAGTCTTTACTACAGGCTGATTTTTGCCGCGCAGCGGCGTCACCCGCGTCATCGTGCCACTTCATCGGAAACCTCGCATAACCTTGTAATATTTCGATATAATTACCATATAAAGTCACTTTAGCGTGTTAAACATATTATACACGATGAAAAACTGTACTGTTTGTTGTTTTAAATGGGTTTTAATGGATAGTTTAACGTTATTTAGGGGTTTTTATTCAAATTTTTAAATAAATTGTTAAATAACTCAACTAATATCATAGATACGGGACTTTTCCTGGATATTTTTTTAAAGCAGATGAAGTTGGTAATACAATGACGTTTTGAGCTTGTTACTATCATGTCTAGTTCGCGAGATATAAGCGATTTCCTAGTACGCGTCTCAGAGCACCTTCCCCCCCTCCCCCCCAAGTTGTGCACCTGCTGGGAGGGCGACAACATCGGTTTTTGCCATCTCCAAGATTCCCCCAACAACAATCAAAAGTCAAAAAGAGTTACACTTTCAGTGCATACTCAACCCCCTATAGATGCTGGACTATCAACTGAAGACGCGGTTGACCTCATAAACTTGTAAGGGTTCATATTATTCGTGAATATTTATAATCAAAACTAAACCCTTACTAGCAGAATCGCCTCGCCAATTCGCCGAAGTTCCAAAATGTAAACAAAACAAATTAGCAGATGACACAAGTTCAGCAACAGCTGATCTTGTGGTTCACCGCCGTAACACCGGGCCGCGCATCAGTCGCCCGCGCCTGCGCAGGAACCCCAGCCACAGCGCTGGATGTGCGCGGCGCTCGCCGAAACAGTGAGTCGGAGTCGGCGAGAGTCGACAGTCAGCAGGGAGTGGCCTGAGCAATTAGGCAGAAGAAGGACGCCCGACCCCCGACCCTACACTCTCGCTCACGCCAAGTAAGTGGACGACATTCGCCATTCGCCGTTGTTGTAACTAGGGCGCCTAGGATAACTCGACCTCACTCGCAATCGCTTTTATTACGCCAACCGTTTATTCACTGTTAATCAATTACGTTATTTAAGTCAAACATCCGCGGGAAGTTTAGTCTTAAATTTAATTGAATAATTAGCAGAGATCGCTTTTTTTAAACTCGTGATTATTCCTATCGTTCTCCTATAACATAGAGTGTTATCTGTTTTATTAAAATAGCTTTGTAAATATATAACGATCAGCTTTGATTTGTGGAATATTTGAACTTGGTTCAATAAATAATTTATAGACCGTGAGTTCAAAGAAGTAACGGTCAGAACGAGATCCGCCCGGTTGTAATTACTTTCTGTTTTAATTGTGTTGTTTTATTTGTATTGTTTAAATCTATTCAAGTTCAATCGGTTCCGGTCACGCAAGGTGGCTTTTTCATATTCGTGTGTTTTTGTTTGTTTTGCTTATCGCGTAGGTCCGTGAGAACACGGTGTTACTTAAATATAATGTGTGGTGTTTAGTGTGTAGTCAATGTTGTTCGTAATTACTGTAGCAGCACTTCAGCTGTGAGATATTTTATCTATTGGAATAAGAGTTAATTAATAGTGGATTTATTAGAGTGATTTCAATACTTTGTTCTTGTTGGCTTCTTTACTAATTAACACGCTTTAATTTGTTTGTACATATTTCAGAACTGTACTAACCATTGTAGCTATTCTACAGTGTTGGGGAAGCTACTTTTAAAATGTAGCTAGCTACAACTACTGCTACATTTCCAAAAAAGTAGCTTAGCTACAGCTACAGCTACAGTTCCGCAAAAGTAGCTAGCTACAACTACAGCTACATTGAAATGTAGCTACAGCTACAATTTTAGCTACTTTTCCAAAGACGTTAGTTTTTATTCCACGCACATTAGGTAAATGTAAAATTAATTGCAACTACATTTTTACTGAACAAACATTAAAAAAATGTCAGTAGGTATTGTATCTAACATTAATTGGAAAACAAATTATTCCTAGATTGTATTTAATTTTTTGGCATTATAAACCTAACATTACAACAACAGAACCAAATAGTTCGGTGTCCCATCATATTTAGTACTTATTTTTAAATATTGCATTATTTTTAAGCATCTTAAATGTAAATTTCAGTAAGTTCAAAGGACATACAACCAAACTATATTTTAAAAGCTCATTTTATTTCTTTAATATAGATTCATTTATAGATGTCTTATATCAACAATTAAGATCAATAAAACTGTAAAACGATTATTTAAAAATAATTTTTTGTGTTACAGAGCCTAGCCTACTGAAATTGGAGTTTATTGCCTTTCTTTTAATGTTAAAAACGACATTGCTATAAACTTTTAAGTGATAAGTTTCTTGTACTATGAATAACACTTTTCAATGTCAAGAAATCGTCCTTTATTGTCATTATGCATAGGGCAAATTGTGCTTCAACCTAGTTGGTACAGAAAACAGTATCCATTAACTTATCCTGAAATCGGCTTTTAATTTAAACATGTTGAAATTTGTAAAGTAAAAATAACATGTAGGCCTACTTGGCTATGTAACAAGTTGGCTATAGTAGGCTTGTTCTTGCAAGGACTAAACAGATATATTCCTAATAATTGAACTTGGGACTTGGTATTCGTCTTAAACCATAGCATAGCCTAGAAATTAATAGTCCTATACAAGAGCTGTTACCAGGAGCAAACTATGCTATTTTTTTCAATGTAAGTTTCATGTTATATGGAGATTTTTTCGTTACAATTATCATTTAGTCTATACATATCTTAAATCACATCAGGTAATTTCCTCTTTGTTAATTTAGTAAACCTTTGAAAAATCTTCGTAATCTAACCAAGGAAGGGCTTGTGACGATGAACCACAATCAACAGCTGAAGCAAAGGTTGATAGACCAGATTTCTCATTATTTTAAGGTTTAGTGTTGGTTTCCATTAAAATCCAAGTTGAAACACTATCGGTATAATAAAGAAACTAATTTGATTACTAATTTCCCTGTCAATCACTTGCAAGCATTTAATAGCTTCTCTTGTCACCGGTAACGTTTAAACGTCGTCTGCATCTAGCGATTTTATTTTATCTGACAGTAATCATAGAGTAGTAAATTAAGGAAATGAGAGCCAAAAATGTGGATAACACTCATTTAATGGCCTCCATGTCCACACAACGTTGTAATAGGGAATGAAACGGCTGCAACCAGCTGTATGAAGCCAAGAAAGTAAGGCCTAATTTTTTTTTTAAATCTCAGTTTGAAAGAGGTTGTTTCACGTAAGGTTGAGGTTATGATAAAAATCACTATCTCAAACAATGATAATGTAGCGAGAAAAGTAGCTAAAATTCCGCTACAACTACCTTAAAAATGTAGCTAGCTACAGCTAAAGCTACAAAATCTTAAAAGTAGCGTAGCTACAGCTAACGCTACAAAAAAAGTAGCGCGCTACTGTAGCGTCGCTACTTGTAGCGCGCTACTTCCCAACACTGGCTATTCATTATCTTTTATACTAGAACCAGTGCACAGTAGTTATGTTCTATGTCGTTTCTTAGCCGCTATTAACTGTTAATGTTCTAGGTAGTTGCTTTACTATTCTTTACTATATTTACCACTTCATTATTAATTATTCATTTAGCCTTCCACTAATTATTGATGTGTTGAACCATATGCATTTAAATATTCTAACTTATGATACGACACCGCTACTAACACACTAACCTTAGAAATTGCTTCAAATCTTAGCATAACGCTTAACCTTTGACTATTAACGCTTAACTAAGGCTTTGGGGATTCGTATTGGCTTTGGGAATTTTAATTCGCCGTGACGTTAGACAGTTAAGCCCCAACTTCTGTTTCCATTCTTCACCATTTCCTCGATTCCTGGACTGTTGCTAATTGAGTGATCTGTGTATCGTATGTGTTGTGTGTGTGCAGCTAACTGCTTTGGTTAGCTGTAGTTTGCTAAGTAGCTTTTCTTCTTTCTCTATTACTTCGGGCACACCGGAAATAAGTTAGTAATAAGTTAGCTTTAACCTATTCCGGAAAACCCGGAAATAAGTTATTTATAAGTTAGCTTTAATTACGTCGGGCACACCGGAAATAAGTTAGTTATAAGTTAGCTTTAACCTATTCCGGAAAACCCGGAAATAAGTTAGTTGTTATAAGCTAGCTTTAACCTATTCCGGAAAACCCGGAAATAAGTTAGTTATAAGCTAGACTTTACCTATTCCGGAAAACCCGGAAATAAGTTATTTATAAGTTAGCTTTAATTACTTCGGGCACACCGGAAATAAGTTAGTATTAGTTAGACGTAAGCTATCCCTGAAAATCTGGGAATAAGCTAGTTTTTAGTTAGGCTTAATCTATTTGAAATAATTCTTTGTGTGCTCAATCTGTCTCTGTGTGTGTGTGTGTCTCGTATGTTACTCTTTCTATAACGACCCTTCTCCGCCCTACTCTGTATGTTCGTTTGCACCTTTCCATATTCCTACTCTCTCATGGGGCTTTGAACTAGTCCACTCGCCCGAAACGCATTGTATTATTTTAAATAATAAAGACGCATCTAAACTAATTCTGTTCGGTCCGTGGCGCACGGACGTAGGGCAGTAAATTAATTAAATAAAACTCCACCGAGGAGGTTGTGAACAGAGTCGTGCACGAAGCTATAACTTTGAAACAAAATCTCGATCTCCCTCTTTTATTCACTCGTTTCCTGGCGATGATGAGGCACGAATAAAGCCAAGAGGCATAACATTCCCGCCTGAGCCAGGAAAACGACTTTAGGATACAAAAGCGGGAAACCCGACCAAAATTGACCCCCGGAATAACCCAGCTTGGCTAGGCTATCAGGGACGCGTAACGCCCCGACCCGACAAATTAACGAAACACACCCGGAAGCGGGTTACAAACTTGTATGGATTTTGTGCCACAAAAGCCTATCTATGAAGAATGTTTGCAGTATTTTTTTTATTTAGCATATGAATACTTTTTTGGAGGAAAAAGCATGTGGATTTGAAGTAAAAACAAGTGGTTTAGGAATACATTAAGGAAGATAGGATGGATACACAAATACTGCATCTAAGAAAAGAGATCCAGGCAGTCGATAGCTAAAAAAGTTTGCAAAAAAACTACTTGGTATTTTACCAATCCAAGGAGGCTTCTTAAAAAGGAACTAGTGATAGTAGGATTTCAATTTTCCAAACAATTCTTAGTGATACTTATGACACTTCTGACACCTTCTAAAATTAGTTGCAGAATTCCTAATTCTTCCTTCCCCCCTTGGAGAGACAAAACGTCATGAATTGCCCAGAACTCTTTCCTTAGTTATCCGTTTCTTCTCCCTAATGTAGTTTTGAAAAGTTTGTGTACATCTTTCTATCTTCATGCTCTTTATGTCTTCACAACACAATTGACTTGATATTTCACACCTCCAAGGAAGCTTCTTCAAAAGGAAGTTTTAAAACTACTACACCCACAGGGATAACTGCTTGATTTGTAAAACAATAGTTGCTGGAACTGTCATCATTTTATGTGATTAGTACCTATTTATGCCAATTTCCAAAAGAGAGGTACTGGAACCCCGTTCCGCCGCATTCTCACACAAATCGAGCACTGGGCATAACTAGGTTGACCCTAAGGGGGAACCCTCCCTGGGAAACTTTTGAAAATTAGATCTAAAAACTAATATTTTTAGGCTATTAGAGACATATACAAGAGATTTTTTAATTGTAGAAAAAAAGTTTAACTGTAAAAAAATCACGTTTTAAGATCAAGGTGGGGGGTTCAAACCCCAAACCCCCCCTTGGATATGCCACTGACTACCCCTTCCTACTATTTCTTTCCTTGTGAAGTACAACCGTAAACAGGGAGTTTGTTATTAAGGACAGCACTTGAACATACAACATACGACAACAAATTATCCACGAAGATAAACGTCAACTCACATTGTTCCTCGTACAAGTAGTGCACCCCGAGCGCCTGCAGGTAGGGTATGAGCGGACGAGGATTGTAGGCCGAGCTGCCCGGGTCTACTGTGGCGGCTCCCAGCGTGAAGTGTAGGCCTTTGCTGTTAGCGTAGTACTGGTACTGGTGCAGTGTGTGCAGAAGAGATAGAGAGTCTTTACCTCCGGACAGACACACCAGCACTCTGTCCCCCTCTTGGATCATGTTGAACTCTTTTATCGCCTGTGATGAAAACATTGGTGGTTAAAGAATTTGGTAAGTGACCAGAAAGTAATACTTTTTAATCAACTCTCTACTTTAACCCTGTTTCTACTAATTTTTCGTTCTTGCCCTCAAAGTGGGCACTGTTTAGAGATGAAAAAGAGAGTGTTATTTAAATGTTTTGTAAGCCGGGAATGGATCTGTCCCTTCCGCCTCAAAGTCCAAGACACTTCTATGTAACACACCATATTCTTGTCAAAACTGCAATTTTTAGACAGTGCTCAGTAATCCAACGTTTATTGTAACAATGCTGATTCCAGAAGTTCCAAACATGCTGGATCAAAGAATACAGTAAGACGCCATGTATCAGCACTAATGGGACCAGGACTAAGACAATTTTTATATAAATCATAACAGATTGGGAATTTACAATGGTTTTTTAAAGAAGTAACACATTGTATGCTACATGTGTTCATATATAACTATTTTTTACAGTATACATCCTGATTTATACACTGTATATTATTCAAAAGCCTCTAGCGTGTCAACAAATTATTATAAAAGACGATATACCTATTTTTGAGATAAATAACAGAGATTTTTAGTTGTTATTTTAATTGATGTTACACTGTACTTACTGCACCATGATACCAGAAAAGTAGACAAACATAGTAACTCACGTCTGTGGTAGGTTTCCAGATATTCTTTGGTGGGCAATGCCACCTCGGTTTGGCAAGATTCTGTTTCAAGTTGTCCGCAAGTTCGTTCTCCTGGTCTCGCTTGCAAACCAGCGTGCAAAGCTCCACCTTCTTGTTCGTAGCCGCCGCCTTCTTGTTCATCTCTCTAGTCTCATTTGTGTGTCCGTTTCTACGCCAGATTGTGTCTGCGGGTGATGAATCCCTTTCGTGATAACTCAGGTTGATGCCGCTGTCTTGCGAACTGATGCTGTTTACTGTCGATCTCCTAGCGTCCTGTAAACACTTTTGGTTTAGACTAATTCATTGTAAACCCGTGAAAGTTTTTGTTTTGATAAATATCATAGTGTATAACCATAATTTTTGTTTACCAAGTGAGGTATAAAATTACGGAAAGTAAATGAAATAAAATTAATGTATAAAATTAGTTAGAGGTTAGAATAGAATCACAATAGCTGTGGACCAATTGTATGACTTACTGGTATCATACTATTCACTTAAAGGTACATAATCAAATCTAGTGCTAACCATAGCCTAGGTCATAGGGTAGTTAGCATAGGTTAAATTGGTTTAAGGACATAAGTCAGCCTTTTTTCTCTATCGTAATATTTTAGCCATGAGTTTGTTTCCCTTATAAAACTTGATCTAAAATTTAAGTTTTAACTTAAACAACTACCTATTTACGAAATCCTCTTAGAAGAGATCTACAAGATCCAACTACAAAGAGTATGTACGTCCTAACTACAAAAGGTCAGTATGACCTAACTACAAGAGTCAGTAAGACCTAACTGCAAAGAGTCAGCACAACCCAACGACAAAGTCAGAAAGACTTAACTATAAAGAGTCAATACGACCTAACTACAAAGTTTCAGTACATTAATAACCAACAACTTTCATTACCTTGAACTTGAGTTTGTGACAGTCCTCGACTCCTTCAGCAATAGACGCAAGACTCTCTACTTCCACAACGTCCGGAAGTGAGGAATCTTCCTCAGACAACCTCGGTCGAGGTTCCTCCGCCTCAGGGGAATTAGTACGTCCGGACTCACTGCTCGGAGAGATCAGCTCGTCTACTTGCGATACCTGCAGAAAAATGCATTATCTTCTATCTTTGGACAACATGGAACTCCATAATACCGGGTGTTTATCGCTTCATAACTGTTATACTATTAAACTTCCCTCGATAAATAATATTTGAAAATGAAAAAGCAACTCAAAGAGTTTATGCCTTCATTGCCTTCCAACAACAAATTATTTAACAAAATCGATCCAGTAGAACTGTAGATTTAATTGTACAAAGTTAAAAAGAAATCCCAAATTTTTTCACCACTATAAATTGGGAGGTTGCTTAACGTTTTTGCAAATAACTTTCAAATGGTGAGGAAATCAAATAAAGTGGAAGGTAATATTACGAAAGAGAATAAAATGTCCTACAATTTACTATTATGCATTTCTTGAAAATACTCAATAAAAGCAGCCAAAAATTGCCTGAAAATAAAAAAAAAATGTTAATATCCGTTTTTATTGTTTACTATGTCTACATTGAAAACAGGATTTTCACATTTTAACTAAAATGGTCTTAACTAAAAGATTGTTTTTTTTTAAGAGATTCCTAAATGTAGCTAGGTTTTTTTGTTTTATCAAAATGTTCAGTAGAAATACTAACCATTTCTCGTATCTCAGACTTGAGCTCAGACACCATCTCTCCTGTAAGTTCCGCCAGACACTCGGCCACATGATCGGCCGAGATTGAGCTTTGAGGCGAGTTGTTGACAAGAGACGGGTCCATCGTCTGGAAGTAGGAGACGGAAGTATTCGGAGATGAGAAGGCTCGGTGGAGAGAAGGTGCTGGGCCTACCGGCATCTGCTGTAAAATAAATTAACGGTTAACTCACACGGTTATATTTCAAGCGGTTAGGCTGGTTAGAAATTTTGTTGAAAAGGTAATAGAGTTCAGCTAGTTTACCTTAGAAAATTAGAGTCCAAAGGCTAAAAGATACAGAACAAAAGAACACTAAACGTATAACTGATATTGTGTCCAAATACGGGAGTTTTTCGGAGAGTAGGAAAGAAAATTATCCCTTCAATTACTACTAAAACCTAATAAAATGATGTTACAGGTAACTAGAGCTGATGTTTCAATAATAGTGATGGCCAACTGCTAAAGTACGAAATGTCAGCCCAAGTTATCTGTCATATGACATGGTGTTACCCTGATGACCACGTTATAGAAAATAGTTCAAATTTCTCTGCACTATGCCATAAAAGGTGCTAGGATAGAATATAATTTTATCAGACAGACTAAGAACCAGCCTGTGCACTGATTTCTGATGTTAGTGGGCTGTGAACAGTCTAGCAGCTTAAAAATTTGCAAACTGTATAGTTTTAAAAATTTAATCATTCAGTTGACTAAAATTTCAATTTTTCTAATTTAAAATAGTAATTGGTCCCAGTTAACTTTCACGTTAATAGCCTACTCTTGAACTATGCATTTTCAAAACTAGATACAATTCAATTGAGGTACTTTTGGTAAAGGACAGTTAAAGTAGGTCTAGCAAAATCAAACCTTGAAAAAATTAAAATCCAGAAAAAAACTTATTTTTAACTTGCATAAACTAATTTACCACAGTGAGCGGTTGCATGCATGACGGTTGCATGATCATGCTCTGTTGGTTGCACCCCAAGTCGAACACCGGGGGATTGATGACTACCGATGGTGTCCCTGCGTTGCCGTCGACCACATGGTTGCTGCAACTCTCGTCCGCACTCTCGGAGGACAACACGTCCTCTACGCGGTTGATCACCTCACGGATCTCTGACTTGATCTCGGTGGCTAGTGACATGCTCACTTCATGCATGTACGCCTGGAAAACATTTATGTAAATCAATAATGAGTAACATTTTTAAATTATCTGAGGTAATATTTTCTAGATGATAGGCTTTCACGGTCACCGCAGATTGTCAAATCTAGGTCTTTAGGTTATGACTGCGTGGTTGAATTGGTAAGTCTAGAGCCTGACGTTTCTGATACGTAGCAGTTATCCATCTTTGGCGTTCAGTTGAATAGTAGTTTGCCCCGAAGATGGATAGTGCTACGTATCAGAAAAGTCGGCCTCTAGTCCTACTCATTCAACGACGCAGCCATAACCCGAATACCTAAAATTGACAATCTCTGGTAATATTTTTTGTAACGTATCTCTTGTAGCATGAACATTTTATGCCAAGAAAACACAGAACTATGGCTTACTCATAGAAAAAAGCCATGCAATATGGAGGCCCAAAAGGCTTACTTGGGACAACTTCTGCAACAGTCTGAAAGGCAGGTTCCAGAGCAAACTAAACATTCTGTTGCAGGCACACTTTTTTCTGTGCTTGATCACTAAGGAATGAAGTATATTCTTGTATTGTTAATCTAAGCAATACAGAATACAATCTGTCCGTCAAGTATCACCTATATGGGACAGGCAGCCAGAATTTGTAGAATGAAAGTAAATGTAGACATGTATTTTAGCTTATAACATTCAATGGAAGTTTTGTGGGAAAACAACAGGGACAAAACTTATTGCGCCTGTTGAAACTTCCGGTAAATCCAGCCCTTAAAGTTAATATGTTTACCTGTAGATGTTGAGGGTTGTTTGTAGTGGTGACCACGACTGGGGGAGTTGCTGAACTCATTCTAGCCGGCTGTTCTGACCCTGCAAACCCATGGCAAGGTTAGAAGAAAACATTTGTATTTTACAGATAAATGGAATACAAAATTATATGACTGTTCAATCCAGTTTATCAACAAATTCACAATTCCATTACTTGTCATCCAAAAAAAAATATTTTTAATATTGTGATAGTTAACTATTTAAAGTCTAGCAGATTTAGAGCGGAGGCTGGCGTTTACCCCCCCTCCCCCCCCGGTGGGAATTTTCGACATATACATTTTTTGGTTTGTATTGACATGTACTTTAAGATTTTAGGTGTTTGCCACTTGTGAATTACAGCATGTTCTGGAAAACACGAAAATATCATGAATATATATATTTAAAATAATGGTTTTTCTTTAGCGAGTTCGTTTGGCTCTACAACCCGACCGATTTTCATGATTGAGGTCTCAAATTGAAGGTATTAACGCACAGATTTCACATCAAGCATCGACATACAGTTGCCTACAGTCCCACTCGGCTTATACGTAAACAACATTTTTTCCCATGTATTTCTTATGGGAGTTAAATTTGGTTTTTCTTTTCCGAGTTCGTTTGGCGCTTCTACCCACCCGATTTTCATTATTGAGGTCTCAAATTGAAGGTATGCACGCACAGATTTCACATCAAGCATCAGTATATATTTATCGACAGTCCCACTCGGCTTATACGTAAATTAAATTTACCCCCCATGTATTTCTAAAGGGAGTTAAATTTGTTTTTTTTCTTTTCCGAGTTTCTTTGGCTCTTCTACACGTCCGATCTTCATGATTGAGGTCTTAAATTGGTAGTATGCACACATATATTTCACATCAAGCATCATCGTATATTTATCTACTTTATTACTCGACCAAAAAACATAGGTTTGATATATTTTTTAATTCGTATTTCAAATTCAATTGTACAGTATTTTACCATTTGTAATTATATAACCCTATATATTTTGGTCTAAGAACCTTCAGTGAAATACCGGCTTGCATTTAAGATATTAGTTATTCAAATCGGACGGTTTTCAAGCAAACGCAAGGTGAACATCCAACATAAAAAAATTATAAGGTTTTTCTATGATTGAATATCAATAGCTCCAGTATTGTTTACGTTTTTTTATATGTTTTAGACTCAAAATAATCAGTCAATTATAGGCTTTAATTTGAGCTATTGATCGTTTGAATCAGTTAAGTTTAAGATACTGTATTACACAATCAAAAATAATAAATTTGATTATTTCTCGGATATGATATTTATTTTAACGCCGCAGTGCAGCATGGGTCCTTTAGTATAGATTTTTTAGTTTGATTTGATTTGATTAGTTGATTCCTGTGCGTAGGACGGGCCCACAGCAAGTTAGAATTTTAAAATGCAAGTATGGTGAAGTCATCAGATTGTTCTCAGTGACATGCAAGCAAATGAAATGAAATGAAGTGAGCAAAGTATTTTGCAAGTACTGTACTTGATGCTTTTGAACAATGCATTATTCTGCTTGAAGTTGAAAACCGTGATCAGAATTCCTAGATGGTCTGTTTATCAGCTGGAAGACCTGTACCCGAATCGGTGGAAGACAATTTACTCAATGTAGATAATGTAGAGAAAGCTGCATGCAAACAGATTAGTTGAGATAAGAGCAATAAGAAATATTTTTCTGGAGTTTTACTGCTGTCCCAGGAACGTGATATTAACCTTGAGAAGCTGATGACATACCCATTAGATCCAGTACCATGGGCATCAGCCACTGTCGATGGATGCCCAACCAAAACAGAAAAGGCCAAACTGCTCCATGCTTTGGAGAACAAGGGTATAGACGAACCTCTCAAGATTGAAGAATGTATGTATGTAATTGACGGTATGGCTTACTTTTAGGTTCTTACTAATATTCCAGAAACCTCTGGTGAACTAGCACAGATTGCCTTCAGCCGTTTTCAGAAATTCAGCAGGATATACTTTATTACGGATACCAATTTAGATGTATCTATTAAAAACATTGAAAAAGAGAAGGGGATTTGGAGAAACGTTTTTAATGAGAGGTCCAAAATCAAGATCCCACGGGATTGGAAAAAAATCCTAGCTAATGGTAAAAGTAAGGAACAACGGGTTAACCTGCTAAATAATGAATGGTCTCAGCACAAATATGCATAAATTCAAACAAGCTTCAATACACGTTTCTAGGGTAATGTAAGGTTCTTTTTGGTGATATTTTGAAATTCACCCCCCACCCACAAACAGGGTTGCTAAGAGTAACTTAATTTTTTTTAAAGGCAACCCATATCAATCAGCACATTATTTTAAAGAGATTTAAACAAGAAAATTACTGTCGCAAATCCGATTTTGATATGAGGAAAACGAAGTTTAAGACGTTAATTTTACTGGAACCTTACATTCCAGTAAAAATTACGTCTAAAACTTCTCAATAAAATTTATTTAATTTAAATATAATCTCTTAAAATCCCTTTCCTAGAGGTACTCGTTAAATCTAATGTTATTTAAATAGATTTAATTGAAAATCAATTCAGGCCAATTTGAAATCCGCATTGCCTGCAGGTTTGCTGCAGCGGGGGTATTTTATTAACTTTTTTTATTTTCATTTAAAGCCTTTGAATACATACTAAAGAAGTCCATAAAAAAATATTGCACCAGTAATTAACGCAGGCCACCCTTTTGTAATTTAAATAAAACAGTTTTTAAATTTCAGTTTTTCTTTATTTTCCGGAATACGCTGTAATTTAAAAGAGGCAAACAACTGAATTCTTAATCTGGTAGGTAATACCAACAAAAAAAGTATAAGTCATAAATTCCCACGGGGGGGGGAGGGTTTCATATTGGTGGCTCATGGTCTAATTAAAATAAACTACTTGTGCTTAGTATGTCAACATCACATTACAGCTGTAATATAATATTTCTAAACGGCATGGGAAAGTTTTGCGTTCTCCTGATTTCAATAAGGTGAGTGATGCCCAAAAATATTTATCATACTGAAGCTGTAATATAATTTAAGCATTTATTTATACGCAACAATAGTTGTTGCTCTTGTTTTGAGTAGTTTATAAACAATTCACAAAACTACTACAAATGACGTTGTCACAAACATGTTTTCTAGATTATTTAGATTCATTAGATGTATGTGTACATCCAAATATACAACGGAGTTTATATTTTGAGGTACGGTAATGATGAGTGTTCAATAGATTAGCAGCAAGTAAATAAATTGGACAAATGAGCTTTGTGACTACAATCAGCTGTTTCTCAGACAACAACCTCTCATTAAAAAATCTAAAGAGCAAGGATAGATGTGACTGTATATAGTTCGGCCGCTTAGAAAGCGACCTCCTCCAGCATTGGTTTAGCATTAGCGCGCAGGTCGTTTTATAAGCGGCCGAACTATAGTAGGTTTCTCATCCTTATGGAACAGCTGAAGCCAGTTTTACTGTTAGTTCTGACCGGTGCACTGTAGAGGTTGTGTTTTGTTTACAATTTGTGTCTTGTTATTTCAGTTATTTAAAAACTGTTTAACCAAATAAAACGATATAGTCATAAACAATAACTCATCCCCTAGTTATATATCCAAACAGTAAAGCACAAATCATGAAAATAACCCTAAAATAATAGAAACAAATTTTTATCTACACTAGCGATCAGTTTCGACGTATACATGAACTAGACACAAAAAACAAGCTTCAAAATTTAGAATGAGATGAGAAGTCTACTTGTGTTGTTAGTCTATGGTTATACTATATTTGGATTTAATAACACATTTTGAAAGTATTATAATGATTGTTCCCCCTTAAAACTTATTTTTAAATAATTTCCAAATGGTCAGTCCAAAAACTGTTTGGACTAGTTGTTAACATTAATAATATTTTTATCATTACAACAATACTGATGGAGAAACAAATATTTGGTAAAAAAAATATTATTTACAATCTTGTAAAAGTTACAACATTGCCACATAAAATTATGTTTCAATTTGAGTAATCTGTTTTTTTGGAGATGAAAATTAGAGTGTGTTGAAAAGTTTTTGAGTAGTTTTGATTTAAAACTACTTAAAAAATATTATGTTACAACCATGAATAAAATAATCTTTGGGAGAAATAATAAGTCAGAAACAAATAAAATATGTTTTATTGTCGTTAAGAAGAGTTACAATGTTTACAAAAAGTTATAAAACTGAATGAAAATCAAAATCAATGTAACACTGAACATCCAGTGAATTTACTTCCAAAATCCAGAAACATTTGATTGTGGTTGATGTAGACATAACAAAATTTAAATGGATGATTAAGCATGAAACAAACATAATACAGTGACTCAACAAAACATGCATAACAAATAGAACATATAACAATCAACACAAAATGTTACTGCATTGTAAACATAATTATCTTCTTACTAGATCAAAAATAAATTAAGATTCCTCCAGGAATACATAAGTAGCACCACAAATACTGTGGGTGATTTATTGTAGTGGAAAATATTCCAGTATTGGGGGAATGCATCATATAATAAACCCTATATATATATATTTAGTAAAACTGAATTTCACTATAGCCTTCTATATAGTATAAGAAGCTAGGTAGCTGAGAGAGAGAGTACCAGTTTGATGGTGAGAAAAGTCAGTAGTTTTTTATGGGTCACAATTGAATCCAGTTTACTTCATAATTGCAACACATACTTATGTGGCTATTTTAAGCTAAATAATATGTAGGATGAGTATAAAATGGAGTGAGAAGATCCGTGTAGCTTTGTTGCTGAGTTAGATCAGCTGTTTCTTAAGCCACGACCATTTCTCAATTGAAAACAGCTGGTTTTGGGTTCAAATTATCAAAAATTTGTCTTTCCTCAGGATTGAACCGGCAACCTTCAGAATGTTTGGCCCTGACTCAGATACCCAGCTATAATTAAACGATTATCACAAACAAATTTAACACGTCAAACAAAAACAAATATTTATTCTTAATACATCACGTTTACTTGTTACAGCATATCTTCCACTAAATACCATTGCTGTGTTCAGCCAGCCTAAAATAACATCTAGAAGGGTCTAACGGAATGGAAAGAAGGTTTTTACCGTCAGTTTGGCTGCTACAGCTGATCTGTCGTTCTCGTCTACTGCGAGGCAAAGTGTCGCCACCCAGACTGTAGCATCGCTCTCTCGCTCCAGTGAACGTTTGTGGACTAAAGCTGTCGGCTCTGGACCTCATGTCTGTCCTGCTGAAACAAAATCACACAAAACCTTTACTCTATACAAAATTAGTTGGAAGAGAGATGCCTTCAGGACCAATTGTGGACTTAAACTTTCTTTATCCGACTGAAAGAGTGAGATGGTAGATCGGAGAGGGAGAGAAACTGTCAAGAGATATGAGAATATGAAACTGTCAAAGATCATATCATGAATAGAAAGACAAGTTGGAGAGAGATGTTAAAAGAATTGTTAATAAGATGGCAGGTGGTGAAAGAAGAAGAATATTGGATTGAAACACAAGATGAAGAGGCTTTGTTAATGCTTGGACTTAGAAACGGATGGATGAGGAGGAGCAAGCGGAAAAAATGAAAAACAAGATGGCAGGTGAAGAGAGAAGAGTAGCGAATGGGAAAAGAGAAAATAGAGAAGCTCTGATTATGCTTGGACTTGGAAATAAATAGATGAGGTAGAGAGTGTAAGAAAAAAATAATAATGATATGGCGGTGAAGAAAGAAGAGGAGTGGATGAGAAAAAGATGGAGAGACATTGTCCATACCCAGACCTAGATTCTACATGACTAAAAGTAAGATGTGAGAAAGAAAGGAATTTTATGGTAGATGGTGAAGGAAAAAGAATTGTGAAATGGCAGAAGAAGATGAAGAGTCTTAGTTGAAATTCAGACCAGGGAATGGATAGATGAGTTGAAGAGGGATGTGGGTAATAGAAAAATGAGATGGTAAAGGAATAGGAAATTTATGGAGGAATAGGAGAAGATGAAGGCCTAGTTAACATTCAAACTAAAGAATAACGGGAAAGAGGATAATTTACTTACTTGGCATTGTTAAGTTTGATCTCAAGTGAGGACAGACTCTTATGACGAGAGAAGGTGGTCAGAGGGATGGGGGAGTTTTCCCCTCCGCGGCTCCCTGCGTAGTCCGAGGGAGTGAAAGGAACACATGTCTTGACGTTGATGCAGTTACCGAGGAGAAGATCCTGTGCCTCGCTTGGCAACATGAACCATCGAAGGTGGTTTGTCTCTTCGTTGAACATGACACATTGGTCTCCAAGAGGGTATCTTTGCGCCATCTGGGGAAAAACGATTTTCCAATTTATAAAAGAGCCCTAAATCTCTGTTTCGTGACACAGTACAGAGGTTATGATTTGGTAGTTAACTCATTTCGTGATTGTAGTATTGGAACCATAAAATACTCCTTGATTGCTCATAATCTCTTTGAACTTGGGAATCTCAGTTAGAATTTCCAAATTATCTTTATTTTGTAGAGTTATAATCAGTGAATTTTGTAATTAAGAATAATAACCCCTTTAAGGGAAATAGGTCCAAATAAATTTTTGGATATGCCATAGGTCAAACTCGTCAATATTGCACCAAGCCTTTCTTTAACTACAAGGCCCTTGAAGATAAAGATAACAATTTTAGATTTGTATTTTATATTTTAATTGCTATTGATATTTAAAACGATTTCAACCTTCAACCTTTTCAGTGAATAGTGGGGTAATTTTGACAATTCACTAAAAACTTTAATGACTGAATACAACTCGACACTTTTAATGTGCTTACCTTTCTAGCCTTATTGAAGATGTTCCTGGCAGTTTGCAGACATTCACTGTAGTCTGTTGGACATGACGCGACTCCGGAAACCTTCCTCTCATGGATGGCCATCTTGCCATCCACATAACGGATCTGACCCAGCCACTTCCTCTCTCTGAACACCTGTAGAATAATTGTAAATGTTAGAAGATTAATAGATTGAGCCATTGACTAATTGCTACTTAATACTAATTGATACTGAAAAATACTTGTGACTAGCAAGAACGGCAAGTACTATGTGGAAATTTTATCTCACAAATGACAGACTCTTACTCCACCATGAGTGATGTAGAACCATTAATGTTCGGTCAACACTTCTGTGCGCGTGGACGGGTGGCTACTAGCCGAACTAAATCATACAGGTGCTAGTTATTGGCAGAGCTGGGGGTAGGAGTGAGTCACACTAAGTAGCAAGATGACACAAATGTTTTCACAAAAGTACCCCCGCCAACCCCCTCATTTAGACCTAACCAGTTCTGGCCGCACGCACAGAAACTTTGGCCGAACTATTCATAAGGGTGAGGGATCGGAGTTAGACTTTGCCCCAGACACCAGCACAAGTGCTAGACACCAGCTTACCATTGAATGTTTCCTCTGCACCTTACTTCTCTGTGATATGGTCAAGCTGTGGCAAATTTATCAAAAAGAACATAGTATTACGAGTCACTCACGGAGTTCGAGTGATGCCTCCATTCCCCAGTCTCGGGGTTGACGACGTACTGAGGCAGCAGTTTCCACCCCTCCGTGGCGACCATCTTGACTGCCTCCATGACAAACAGTACCTCGGGCTCGGCCATGTGGTACGGCAGCGAGAGCCGAGTGAAGCCTGGACGCAACATCTCGTACGACGAATGCTCCTCATGGCGACGCAAATGGTGGCGATCCAGGTTCCTGAAGAAGAAGAGGAATATTTATAACAGATTGAGTCTTAAATAGATTTTATAGATGTATTTTTATCTTTGAAGTGAATACAGATTTCCTCGTACCTTGGGTTGACCTAGTACACCACAAATAACTCCAAAAAAAGACAAAGGATTCAAAAAGTTAATGGGAAGTTTTTGCACGATGCCTTTTTTCTATCTTTCCTTTTACTACGATAAATATTTTTCACCAAAATGGCTTGTCCTATAGTTCGGCCGCTTAGAAAGCGACCTCCTCCAGCATTGATTTAGCATTAGCGCGCAGGTCGTTTTCTAAGCGGCCGAACTATAGTAGTATCAAATCTATTAAAGAACATGATATGACTTTGGTTTACACAAACTACTGTAACCACTCAAAATAAAGTAGTTTTGGCTATAAATCTAGAATTTTACAAATTTATTTAATAACCAAAAGCTACTAGTTTCAGCTAGAAGATCTCTGGTATGAAGTTATTAACAATTGAAATCAAAAAAGAAAAAATGACTCCTTATTAAACCCTAAATTTAAAATAATTATGTTAGATTGTATTTTAAATCTTTGGCATATCTAATAAACTTCAAGCCAACTCTTCAAACCACGTTTATTTTCAATTTTTAATATTTTAGGTGCAACATTTTAAGACTTCCACTTGTTTTAGTGAAAATGTTCATAAAAAGTTAAACATTTTGAGTTTCTATTGGTAGGATCAAACCATTTTAATATACTTACTCATCTTCCAGTAGTATAGTCTCATACTCCTGCGCCAGATCCTCGTCTATGCCGAGCAGATCCTGAGCGTAAGGTCCGGCGCAAGCACACCCTCCTCGGGCTTGTATGCCGAACACATCGTTGAGTACGGCGCAAACAAAGTTATGATGGAGGAACGTCCCCCGGGGATGGCGCACAAGAAACGAAAACACAGCAAGACGTTTGGCTGACTGGGACCCGTTACCTAACAAGATAATCTCCGGAATCTTGCGTAAGTGGGAGAGCATCAACCTGTAAAAACGTGGGACAAATTAACAGATGTCCTAACATTATTCTGAAGATTTTAGTATCCACAAAGAATATGTACAATGACCATGATTTTCTATTGAATAACATTTTCGGACAAAACCCCAAACATAGCAGCTTTCACTTGTGTAACAGCCACAAGTGTAGGGGAGCAAGGGTCTAGTGGTAGAGCCTGGGACTTACGGTCCCTGAGGTCCTGGGTTCAAATCCAGCCATATCACCAATTAATTTTATCCAAATGATAATGACGCAACCCCTAGGGCTAGCAAAAACGATCATGGACTAGAGTCTAGTGTCCTAGGACAAAAAATTATAAACGTAACTAAATGTTTGGTAACACAGAATAGCTAAGTAAATATTGGTGAAGCTTTGGTGCTCAGTCAAGCTTGAAACAAACAACATCATGAAAACTCGGGTGTTTATCGTAAAACAGATATAGCTACACCAAACAAACTCACTGCATTTCCGTAACATTCGCCAGACAAGTTTCAGTTTAAAGTTTGTAAACAGATTAACTAGTAGTTTTTAATTTTCCCCGTGACATTCGTATAAGTTAAACAGATTTTGCCTTTGGCTTGATTATTTTTTTGATGGAGTGTAGAAAATTGTTAGTGTAGTAATTAGATTAGACTACATTTTGTTAGCGTCAACCACGTCTTCAGAGATAATTTACAACTAATTGTTTTTCTCCCGCTATTAAATGACTAGGCTAAGACTAACACCGGCAACAAAAGATTTAAAGATTATGAATCTGACAAACCATTATTATTGTTTTACAATTTTTCTTTCTAGTGATCGATTACTTGAAATAGTTATCACAAAATTCCTGATACAAAGAAAATCAATCAAATTTAAAATCTATAGATAGGGCCTACTAACTTTGTAATTTTCTCTTCTCTGGCCATGATGTTGGCCACTCCAACAGTCATTTTGAGCTGCATCGCAAGTCCAGCTCGGATGGATTCTACGATGGCCGCCGTACCTCCCTCTTCTCTCATCTCAACGTCCTGCGAGACAAATACATCAAGTATATCAGCTGGTCTTGGATATTGGTTAAATTTTAACTTTTATTATAACTGGGGACAGAATATGGACAAAAGTGCAAAATTTACAGGATTGTTTATCATCTTTTAAAAGATAGTTTGTTTTTAACAGAAAACGTTGATGAGAAAATAAGCTCAAGAAAATAATTTAACTTCTTATCAAGATAAACGTTTTTGTCAGTAGGATTTTCTCTACACAACCAACGAATTGTCTTGGAGGAGGGAAGAATTAATTGTACCTTGAGATATTTGTGTCCTGAAGCAGTGACGAAGAAAACAGTTCCTCCACCACATCCTTGAGGTACGGAGTTGACAAAGAGGGATTTCTTTGCCACTAGGATACCTGTTAAAACAAATGGCTCTTCATTGAGTTATCAATCACCTTATACTAGTTAAATATCTCATTATGACCTCAAGAAGATAATGAAGACCTCAAGCACCGAATAGTGAGTTTGTGGCTATGTTAAAAATTACTATCTTAACAATAAACAGTTTAAAGCGTTTTTCCAATAGCTAGATGCCGTTTCTGGATTTTAACTTTTCTCCTTAAAGAAAAAAAAAAAATCCTAGTATAGTATAGTATAATGGATAATTTGGCCCTGACAACGCAGATCATTTCAAATAAAATACATGTATTCAAAACAAGAATACAGATGATGAATTTTGTAAAATATTGAGAAAGAAAATGTGCAGCCTATATTTTTCCTGATGTATCAGTAAATAAGCTCAAAACAAAAATACAACTAATTCCATTACTTATTTTACAACTTGTATAGAACCATTTGCCGTACCAGGTGTCTGAACCCCGCCCACAAACTTGTGTCCGGAGAAGAACATAGCATCTTTGTACACAGCTTTCTCATTGACTCCTGGGAGTAGAGGGTTCATGTCCAGCTGAACGTACGGAGCTGAAAACAAACAATGTTATACAAATTTGCAGATTTGGTTTAATACATAAATGCAAAGAGAATGACTTCACCCAGGTACTTTAATTGCAAACATTTTCTGTGGAGGGCCTCCAGCCCTTCTTGTAGGATAGGGGTGCAAAAGCTGTTTGCAGCCCCAGGGCCCTAAAACCGGATGTGCACATTGCTGTCTAGTTTGGTTTTTGAGCAGGGGAGAGATCAGATCGGTCAATGTTATCTAGGGTCATGTTATCAGTAGTGTGCAATTTTCTCTAAATGACAAACCCTATTCTATTGCATTGTAAAATGTTTTAAGAACAATAAATATTCTTATTTTAACAAAATGGAGTTGCCTACACTGGAAGACATATTAGATAAGTCGAAGAATAAATTAAACGTAAGAACCAAAGTAAGGGATAAAGGGTGCAGATAGGTTTGGAGAATTAATTTGCCTGTTGAAACCATCAAGATTATTTTCAGGTTGTAAACATCAAAAATAAAAAGTGGCTGTGAGGGGAGTTAGAGTAACTCGCTCAGTATCAAGGATTGGAGTTTTTTGCCAGAACCAAGAGTTACAGCAGGTTACATTTTAAAAGTACTGTACTTTTCTAACTTAATTATCAAAAAGAAAAGGAAATCTTTTCCACCTGCAGTTGCGTAGTCCCAGAATGCCAGAGCGCCATACTGATGCAGCAACAGTGTGGTTGCAATGTCGTCTGCTAAGATACCAGTGATGTTTGAGGCTGCGGAGAAACAACCGATGAGAGTTCGATCTCCTTCCACAGTCCGCTGAAACTGCAACTGGTTCTCGAGGTCTACCAGGTCTAAGAACCCTTCCTTGGTCTCTGATATTCGTACGATCTGCAACAACGAACACAAGATTATGTTACCTTGTTAGTCATATTAGGGTATGTAGTAACAAAACGGGGTTGGGTTAGGTTATGTTACCTTTTGAAAAACCTAACATATGTTACCTTAGGCAACCTTTTCAGCTACAAAGGCAATAGGTCACTTACAACATACAACTGAGCATAATTAAGGTGAGTCAGTGGCTCAGTCGGTAGTGTGACAAAACAACTGAGGCAGACGTTTAAGATGCGTCCCGCTGATTTCTTACTGATTTAAAAATTGGTTTATTCTTGTAAAATATCAACTCTTGCTTTGCTTGATACATCCAAAACACAGGTTATATGTATAAACATAAGAGGTTATAAGAGGCCATCGACAACATTGTAAAAACCAAATAAAAAAATAAAAAAAACGCAGAAAGCTATACCAGACATGTGTTGTGGTAGTGAAGTTTTGAAGCTTAGAAACTACCGGTACTACCCTAACGCTTTTGGTCGACCATTTTCATTTTAGTAAGGTACCGTAACTAGGTCTTAACAATGGTTGAGCTTCTAACGAATATAACGAAAGACGTCATTGTAGATAGAGGATAAATCCTGTTGTAGATAGAAGGGGTGTCCTGCATATGTTAGTGTGATTGATAAATTAAACAGAAGATGGATTTGACACAATAATGTTGTGTCACAAGAAACGTTACTGCTGGGGGAATTAAGAAATACATTTTGATGTTATGATGCATTTCATTTGATCGCAAAGTAAAGGAACAAGAACTGCACTGTGAGATTATTCGGTATCTTATCTTCACGGCACAAGATGACAAGATACTTAGTAAACACGAGGGTTCTAGAATGTCCATGACACAAATTATTAACATTTAACCACTACAAATATTTTTGGATCCTTGTTTTCAAGTTTTATAAAACCAACATTTACTCTTAACAAACGAGAATTTCAATAATAACATAATAATCTACTGAGAACTAATGTGAAATAATTAGAAATAATTAACTTATTAATTAGAAGTGGCTCCTATTATTCTCTCTTTTAGCGAATTTCCCTATAGGGAAGTAGCTATTACCGTAGGTCTCATGGTAAGACCTAAGCCCGGGACCGATTTACTTTTTCATTTTGATGTCCCCAGAGGCCAAAAACACCATTCGTTCAAATTTTTATATATCTATATATAGATATATATATATATATATATCTATATATATAATTCTGTAAGACCTAATTTTTACCAGAAAATTGTGGACGTCTGGTAAGTCGCAGAAAAGTGGGAGGGGTCTTAAATTAAAGGTATTGACCCCAGGGACTCGGGAAAAATAGCAGAATTCCCATAAAGCTACCAGAAAACGAGATATAACGTAAAATATCCACCATAAGAAATGCATGGGGACTGAAAAACGTCTGCATTCTATCAGCTGTTACTTATTTATTTGCAATTTTTACATTTATTCCGAAAGACAATGTTGGTAAATAATGTTTCAAAAAGGATTGTGTTTATTTTTTTTGTTTTCCGTTTTTATAATGAGTGAAGTAACTAGACAGGGTAGGGGAAGACCTGCAAGACGTGGAAGAGTGTCCAGGAATTCAACAGACTTAAGAAATGCAAAAGAGAACGTCATGTAGGGCCTAATTGTGAAAGAAATCCAGAAGCTGTTTTACAACCTGTCTTTAGAAAAACGCTGGAAAATTAGTTGATTGTTGTTTCTCACAATATAGGTCCTCTTAAAGCACTTGCATGCATTGTGGCGCATTTCATTTTGCAGAGGAGGCCACAAATGGACATTTCAACGCATGTTGCCACAATGGACATGCCACAACCACAAGCAAATGACGAACTAAAAGAACTGTTTTTACATGATTCGAACTTCATAAAAAACATAAGGCAATACAACAGTGCAATGGCTTTTGCGTCGCTTTCCGCTATACAAAAAGAGATTCCGGGAAATGGGCCTTACTGTCTTAAAATTCAGGAACAAATTCATAGATATATTTTTTACTTACTACCGCGAAATGGGGAATTGCCTTCATAATAATTAATAATAATTTTAACCTTTACATTTGGTTCTCAAAATGGAAACTATAACAGAATTCCTAAGATCATCAATTTTAAACTAGAAAAGATGTGCAATGTTTAACTGTATGATTTCAGCTCTGATTCGTGGTTCTCCGGGCTCAGGCCAAACCGTGTGCACGTTTCCATTTGTTAATATGTTGTGTTATTGATTTAATCATTATTTTACAAACACTGTTAATTTTAAGTAACATAAAATTGATAATTTTAAAAACATATTTCGATTATTTGTCTTTTTATATATAGTTTTTTATTGTAGTCTAAATTAGGGGCTATGGCCCCTACAGGCCACTAGTATATATATATATATGTGTCCATCCGCACGATAACTTGAGTAATTTTTGTCCGATTTTGATAAAATTTGGTTTGAAGGTGTAAGGCGGGATAAACTTGAATGAGTTCGCGAACCAGCATGATCGGACTATGGGAACGGGGGTTTATGGGGGGTTTTATGGGGTAAAAATAGGTTTTTCCCATTTTTGACCCTAAAAAAACAAAATTTCACAATTTATTTTTAAACCATTTTGTAGAGCTTAAAAAAACAAATAATTTAGTATATTGAAGCGTTATTATGCGTCTAATTGTTAAGTAGAAAATTCAAAAAAATTGTAATTTTAAAATTCCCATGTTATTCTTATGGAGAATAAGTCAACTGTTGTAGTTTGCTTGTTTATGAACATATTTTGATCAAATTTGTAAAATACATTAATTTCTTACTAAACCACAACATTGGTGATTTTAATATTTTACATAAAAAAAACTTTTTTACCCTCCCTGTTGCAGCAAACCTAAGTACTCATTAAACTAATTCTGTTAAAATAGGGAATAAATGTGATATTTTTAAGGAGACATTTTAGTTTAAATCCAATCAGGCAGATGGAAATTCGCTAAGTCTGCAGGTTTGCTGCGGCGGGGGTATTAAAGATCATGAGCTAAAAAAATATTATTGGTGATGTTAAAATTTCCTGTCAACAGGTAGGCCTACTGTGTGAGTGTGAACCTTTTTAAACAATACAAGGGGGGAATCAGTAAAAAATAAACTAATTTTAATCTTTTTGAAGAAAGATTATAAGTGATTTGAAAGAAATAGGGAGAATCTTAGAAAAACATCAATGGCTCGTAAAAACAAAAGATAACTAAACATTGGATACATCAGTTAAATAAACACCTCCAAAGTTCACCCATTCACTATTTACAGGTCTAATGATAACTAAGGACCCATATTTTAAATGTTTTAAAATCAATACTTCACTAAAACTAGACCTAATTTATGTTCTTGGATCAGTTTTTAATATATTTTTTTCTTGAGTAGTGCGAAGTAAAAGAAAGATCATGATTTGGTTGGTAGGACTGAAAGTTAAAGTCTTGTGTTCTGACCCAATAAGAATAAGAAAGTTTATTGCCGTTTACCAGGTTGTATAAAATAACTATGGTTTTAATATTCACAATAACCTAAGTAGGTTACACATATGGTATGATATCATCATCATTGCAGTTGTTTAGGAATCATAACTTCACAAGGTTGTGCGTTGTGTTATTAATATTTGTATTTTCTCTTTTTTTCAATTTTATAACTACTACTAAGCGATAGGTAACAGAAACATAGAACCGTTCATAAACAAGATTTAAATTTTACCTTCTGCTGTAAGATATGTCTACCTATACAACAAAGAGAAATAAAACTTTAGTTCTACTCTCACCAAATTTTGAACAAGGAAGGTAACATTTCAACCAATTATTACAATTGAGGCAAAGCAGCATAAACGAGAAGTGAAAAGAGCAATAAACTGCTTTCTAACAATGAAGCTTAACATCAAACAGCCTTCCATGGAAGAGGCTTAACAGAAATTCAAACTTCTTGAAAGCAAAATTGGAACTTTTTCGAACTTCGTAACAATATTCTCAAATAAAAATATTTTTTAGCTTACATATCTACTTTTGAGCTTGAAAGTTACCAGTTACCCTACCAAGATTCAGAGTAAAAAGTTGTAATTTTTTTACCTAATGTAAAACAACCAATGACGACTATTTGGTGACTTATACGAGTAATAATCAGTTGTTTTGTTTCATTGGTGTTACTTAAAAATTGTGTGCCATTGTGTAAGGATTTTTGGGATATAAAATTTTAATATTTTTACTCAAATTTTCACTTGTGCCTACAGTTGGTCCTTTAAAGTTTGTAAAATAATATTAAAGTTTTATTTTGTTCTTTTAGGTTGTAGCCCAGAATTGTTTTCCACATTACTTCAGGTTAACAGGTGGCTGTACCATTATCACTTAGACAAAATCCATTGGTGATTGGCGGGATTTGGATCTGGAACCTCAGAGACAGCAAAGTCTTACGCTTTACCACTAGACCAGCTCCCTCCCCTATGTCACTGTTAATGAATTTAAAAAATATAAATTTGACCATAAAATAATTACAAAAGCTTTATGAATAAACTCTTTCTAAACATTTTTTCTCAACAATTCACACTAAAGGTCATTGTTGACTTTAAATACTACAAGTAGACTACTCATCCTATTAAATAAGTGTTTTTTCAAAAGTTTGATGACTGTTAACACATTTTTTAAGTTTCTCTATTATTTCAAATGTAAATTTACACTGTGACTTTCATTATAAAAACTTTGATCAAGCAGTAGTCTAGAAATTGAATGATATATTTTGAACAATCATTTGTAATAATTTTAAAGTTAACAATGAATATCTAGAAAACTTTAAAACACTTAAGCGTTACCGGAAATAAACATGCTTTTAATCATCTTCAGCTGATCCATAAGGATGACGAACTCCTCTGATATTATATTTTAATCTGAATAATCGTTTAAAAGCCCCAAATATAGCTTTAACGGATCAAGTTATCAGTCACCAATTCAGCAAGTGATTCTCATAAGTGCAAACCACTTTAACTATCTTCTGTCATTGAAAGAAACTAAAATACGTTTGATTTTTAATCATCTGTCAAAAACAATTGAGATTCATTCGTTTACATTAATTTATCAGAACTATTTAGATACGGCAAACTTTGGTTACGTTAAGTGATATAATACAATGAGTGTTTTTGTCTCGAGATAAATAAATGATGTGATATAGGTCAAAGTTTTGTGTACTTTTAGCAACTTACTTTTTAGAAAAGCTATTTTATTACCGTTGACTTTGGATATGCCTACCAAAATAGATATCTCATTTAGACCAGTTGTAGCCAGTTTTTCCTAATCTAAAGCGGTGTTTACATCAGAGTTTACAATATATTTGTTAAACAAAAGTTTAAAACAATCGGAAGAACGCAAAAACATTTTCCAAATTTTTATAGTGAACTTACAAAAGAAATTAAGGTTAAAAAGTGTTTTTTGAAATTCTTGTGATTTTACCCATAAAACATCATAGTTACTCCCACCTCTTACCTATCATAATGGTTTCTAACAAGATAATGGGAGAATGAATGTGTCAGTTCGCTGATACTAATTTTATCTTAAAACTGGTAATAGCTTTGACATAGGACATGTATGCTTCACAGTTGTAGTTGTGTATTCAAAGATAATATTGATCTAAATGTGTCATGGTTGTCACTTTCTTGGCCACATTTTAATAGCTTCAAATCAATAAAAGCCCTTCAACTAGTAATTGTTGATGGCAACTCATCCTTTCAAAGGTCACTCAATTCATTGTTGAGTATTTATCTTCATATTGAGTATGTTAAGTTAAAAATACCCCTGTTGTAGCAAATAAGCAAACTAAGCAAATTTCCATTGGTCTGATTGGATTTTTTTATAAATATTTTCTTTTGTCACGTTCATTCCCTGTTTACAAAAATATTAGGTTAAAAAAAACACCTAGATTGGCTTTTAAGTGAAGTGTTAATAGTTAACTGTATTATAAAATAATTTAATTTGCCAAATTTGATCAAAATAAACATGATCAAGCAAACTACATATAATAGTTTACATTTTTTGCATCAGGAGAAAAGGCTACATTATTGAAGAATGGACAAGTGACGAGTCGAGGTTTCAGTGGATATAAAAACACCTTTGTGGATTTCAATGGCCCAAAAGATTTCAGAGAAATCTAAGTCTTAAGTAAGACAAACCTTTAATTATTCCAACAATGAAAAGCTTTCTTCCTTCAAAACATCAAGAATTGGATATATTCCAGCGATTCTCCATTATGTTTGATCTTCAATTCTGGGAAATTAAATTAAAAGAGGAAAATCAAACTAGGTTAACCTAACCTAATTTTGAAACTGTCTACAAACAGGTGTAAAATTATATTGCATTGTAAGGTAGTGTTATTTCAATTCATGTCCTACAATTATTTTCAATTGTGTGGTAGGCCTAAATTTATTTTAATTTTCTGTATATATTTGAAGCATTTTTATACGGCAGAACCTTGATAACAAGTATCTCATGTGGATCATCAAATTAGACTTATTATCGAGGTTTGCAACATGTCATAAAAGGGTGACAGCTTTAACTTTAAGGCTATTTCAAAATGACACTTGTTATCAAGGCCACTTGTTATCGATGGCCACTTGTTATCGAGGTCCACTTGTTATCAAGGTTTCAAATTATTTACCTTGGCACCGAGTTCCCGCCATGGCAGAAGGTTGGAGTGATGTTCACAAGGGCCGACGAACACGATCGGTGGATCATCCAACGACAACGCATGGATCAGCTTGTGTACGGCTCCTGTACAACCGTGGCCCGCAAATATCACCACGTCTTCCTCCGAGGCGTGCACGGCATTACGTACAACATCTCTGGCCTCGTGTCTGTAACAAAACAACACAAGTCACACAACTTGTAGCATAAAAACAGTAATGAGAGTTTTGCTTATCCGATCTATAGTTATTTAACGTCCCATGTTATTCGACTCTCCTGCAAATGATTTTGTACAGTGAGATTGTGAGTGCTTTTTTCTGAGCGGTTGAGACCTTTTACTATCCCTGTCTTTTTTCAAAAGACACTGGTCAATCTTTATGCACCTTCACTTTTTTATACTTTCTATTATTTTAGCGCACTTCACACCACACATTTTGTAACTCCTATGCTACCCTCAACGTTTTAATCTGAGTTTGAGCGAAGATTTGTGACTGAATGGACTACAATAGTACTGTTTTTACTTTGCAGACTATATTTTTGTATACATATTTTTGTATACAAATGGAGAAAGTTGTTGATTTTAATGAAGGAAAGAATTGATTTAATTCCTCAAACACAAACATTTAAAAATAGTACATCTCAGAAATTAACTGACCACTTTATCTATTCCTTTTGGGCAGGAGTCATATACACAAACTTATTGTTACATGAAAAATATAGGTAATATACTGAAATGAAGCCTTGTATAGATAAAGGCTGTAAAGGTTTGTTTAAGGAGAAATTTTAATCATATAATGATTTAATCATGTTTGCAGTCAGTTTAAAAATTGTTTCCTATGTTAATCAAATTTTCTGCTAATACGGCATTATTGATGCCTGTTTTCGCTGGATCATTGAAACTCTGATATGATTATTAATCTACAAAATTGAAAAACACTTTACAAGCCTTTAGTGAAATTTATTGTTGAAAATTTCTCAAATAATTTGACAATTTTGTTTCGGGAACAAAATATTTCTGCATTTATGTGTTTGAGACACACTAGAGCCTATAAACATTGTGGTAGGTTGTTGCGCACAAGTCGATGGAAATGGCCGTGGAAACCTCCCGAGAGCCAAAGAGTAATAAACGTCAAGAACAGCAGCTCCTGCAGAGTTGTTGTCTTTAGCAAGCCGAGATGTCAATCATGCTGTTTATATAACTAACCTTACATGAATTGCTACACAAGACAAAGTTTGGGTGAAAACCTACTTAAAAATTTGATTATATTTTGTTTGTTTAAGTTCAACAAAATGGTTTTAAAATAGATTGTGCATCTATGTTTTGAGGGTCAAATATGTGAAAAATCATCTTTCTTCCTATATAACCCCATTCTAATAGTACAATCCTTCTCGTTCGCAAACTCGTCCAAATGAACATATGTTTGTACAAAATTACATAAAATACATTTTTTCATATAGGTTTAGACCGCTTTCCCAAAAAGTGATTTTCGTGTACCTCCTTTATACCTTTTTAAAAATTCCATAAGTTTTACTAAATCAACAAAATTTTTCAATTTTAAAAGTTTAATTAATTCTTTACCAACTTTTAAATACATGTTATTTATCTACAGATTGATGGATACCATAACTAACAAAACTTTAGGTTAATAGATGGCAAATATAAATTCAGCATAATTTGTAAAATTGACTAAAACCTGTTACCTTACGAGCAAAAAACAGCTGATTTTGATCATTAAGCTAAGAATAAATTATCCTGGCTTATGAATCAGCTGACCTCAGTGGGTAACAAACCAGTCACATTCATTTAACCATTTAACCATTCATCTTATCCTTAAAATATACACTCATGTGTCATCGTTGCAAAAATCCACTATAAAATATTCTTGTATCTATATATCTAAATAAAACAAACCAAAAGATAGTGTTAAAGCAAACAGTAAAATTCACAGAAATGTAATCTTTACTTCAAGATATTAACTCGGAGTCTTTCCTAGTTAAAACCGAGTAAAAATACACCAACGGCTTGTAAAGTTAATCAAACAGTCTAGAAGCTCGTAAACTGAATTGCGAAAGTCACTTCACGTGATAAGTGCAAGTACGCCACATGCACTAGCCTGCATGCTTCCATTAGCAGTATTGCAACACCTGTATTTTCATTGCAATTTGTGGATGGAATTTATATCAGCTGATCAATTGTTATACCAGCTGATCAGCTTACATAGAGTTAAATATGAGTTAAACTAAAAATGTATTTCCGCTATCATTTATTTTAGTTCATAACCAGCGCATGACTGATTGTAGAAAAAATTTTAAAATCTAGATCTGGAAAGATTTTGGAAACGTTTTAACATTGAAATCTTATACTGTAATTGTATTGTCTACGCAAGTGGCATGTTGTAGGAAATCATTGACGAATTTAAGTGAAACTGGTAAAAACCTCATTAATAGGTAATTAATCATTACTTATTACTTCATTAATTGATATCATGACAGAATCTGTATGTACAAAATTCGCCTATTGGGTCTGATGATGATTGGAGTGTCCCATCAAAATCGATCACCACTTACCATCTTTTATATTTACAGTCTTGTAAGTTAACAGGACAAGTGTAAACATATGTTTCAAAGAGTTATTACACATATTGTATTCAATTTCCATATGAATTTATAGTAGCCTACGCACGATGCTATCAAAAAGTTATTTTAAAATATTTATGCAAGGATTTTTCAATATTTTCCATCAACACGTACCTGAAGAGTGTTGACTGCATCGACGTAATCGTGGTGGTGGTGTGAGTGTTGCCATAGAGAGGCAGGACTTCTCTCAAGATGTAGTCTTCTATGAACTGCAGAGATCTCCCGGAAGCTGTATAATCGCAGTAGACCACTGAAACAGAACAATTTGTAAGAAATCGCTGAGAAATCAAAGTATGTCTAATCTTCATAGCAAAGCCATATCTTTGTTTAATTTTCTTTTTAGATATTGGCATAGATAAAAACATACTCCCTTAGTAGATTTCTCATCCTTATTAGCTGAAGACAATTTTATTGTTAGTTCTGTGTTGTCGCATTGCAATGGTTGTGTTTTGTCGTTTAACCAAATAAACCGGTCTATTCATAAACAATAACTCATTCCCTATATAACCAAACAGCAAATCACAAATCATGAAATTAACCCAAAAATAATTTAAGCAAAATTTTTTCAACACAAGTGACCAGTGTCATCTGACATGAACTAGACACGAAAAACAAGCTTCAAAATTTAAAATGTGATGAGAAGTCTACTTGTGTTGATTGGTGAGTTAATATTTAAATACAATTATTGGGAACATGATGCCATGCATAACTTTGATAAGTAAACCATAGATTAAATAGTCCCCTTATATGTTCTGCCTGGGCTACCCCAGAGCACTAAAGTTTTTAGGTACACTAAAATTCCAAAAAATGTGTTTTACCAATAATGCTTGACTAGTTTGCAAAAATACAGTACACTGAAATGTTTATCTGTATTTTAACCCCAAAATAGGGTTAAAAATCTTTTAGCTGCTTTAATTTCAAAGATTTTCCAAGGGGTGGCAAAGATGTTTGCATTGCATCCCAGGCTTAAAGCTGGTTTTTTCTTTAAACAATTCTGGACCTACTAAAAATATTGTCAGGTTTAGCAAATCTAATAAAGCAGTCTATAATCAACTTCTACAACACATGAAAAGATTAAATTGTTGCTAAAAATAATTACACTTATTGTAATTCTGTCATTAAGTAATAAGAAGATTTGAAGATAGGAAGTAGATTCTATTTTAGTCACAGCACCATGACAATAACAGAATTACATGAATAGTATACTTCATCACTAGGGCCTAATCAAGTGTCATATTTTAGACAAAGTTTAGACAAGTTAAAAAGTTTTAGACGGGTTTAGACAATTCACACCAAAGGCGAAAAATAAGTAAGAGTCGAAAAGACACTTTTTACCCGTGAGATGAACTATAGTTTTCTCCATACTGCACAGTTCTAAATAATTATCAAAACAAACTTTCAATAACTCTTTTTCCTTGGCAAAAGAGCTCCTAAAATAGCTTCCATATTGTTTTGCTAAAAAACAAACAGCTGTTGTCCCTTATTGTAAAAAAAATATAGACACAAGAGATATTACTCCGCCAATGCATTAATATTGAAACCACTAAGATAAATGCACATAGTTTAAATATTGATAAAGAAGTATTCAATACCAAACAATGATAAACCAAATGAATTATTATAACAATATAAAATCATCTTTGGGAACTATTTTCTTCAGAAAAATCCACGGAGTGAATAATAATGCACAGCTGATGTCCTAGAGTCCAGCTGATTTTCCCCCTGAAAATAAACTACTTTAATCCCTAAACTCATATGGAAAACATCCGTTTGGCCATTCGAAAACTAATGTTACAACCTTGTCCCAATTGCGCAGATATAAAACAGATTCAAAGAAGTTTAAAAATAACCTCAGACTATTTTAGTGCTTCCAAGATGTTAATTAGTCAAATGCAAGTCCTATTAATCCGTTGGCTGCATTTACACAAGGACCATTGAGAGAGTTCACTGCCTGAAAACCAAAACAGAATTGCGTCCGTGCTTGATTGTGGACGTCCAAGAAAAAGATCATTCTACATTTCCATGAAATAATTTGATAAGTCGTACTTTTATTCGTGTAATATATTTTTGAATAATTTAATTCGTTAATAATTCGCTTATTTGACGTCGTATCAAAATAAATATTGCATATTCATGATCTGCTTGTCATTCCGGTTAATTTGAGTACCCACATGACGTGTTTTGATAAAAAAGTCGTTGTTGGTTTTCTAAATTTTTCGGCGTTTTTCGTCGTTTCCCACGTAATTTTCTTAATCAGCGTTGAATTTAGAGTAGGATGAAAAAAGAAATTCAAAAATCGGGTGCAGACCCTAAAATGCATATCAAACGTTTACACTATCAGATAAATTTATGCTCACCAATAACGTTTCCTCGACTTTCTATTTGTATAAAAATTCCGTTTTTTAGGCTGAAATCACATATGCATTACTCAAATACTCAGTTTTGTTTTGAACTGAGGCCAAAAAACTCATAGTGCTCTTACACCATGTTTCAATAGTTTTGGGAGTTAAAGGTTGCCAATAATTAGAACTAAATTTTGAGATAGTATTTCATATACGAAACTGAACCTCAAATGAATTTCTGCACCAAAAATAGATTGAATACGACTCAAGAAACTCAACAAACAAATCCAGATCCGAAAATACTCCGAAAACAACGTATGACTCAACGAATAAACAGTGCAGAAATACGCCGCTGTAAAGTTTAGTTCCGGCAGTCGTAAGTCAGGCGGTTTATAATCCACCAATCAGCGTAGAGTGTCGGTGGGTGTCGCGAAGATGTTTTACATAAATCTCCAACTTTACGATCCTCTTGTAGCCAAGTGGTCACGTGATCGACCGATGGACAGACTAAGCCAACCGGTCGGAGGAGAAACTTAAACAACTTCTCGGATTGAATTCTTTATCTCTTGAATAGCTAGGTGTGCATTTTGCGTTTCTTTATGCTTTGTGAGGTAAAATAAGAATTTTTGACATGACAGAAACGGAGATTTATTCCGTATATAACAATTCACATTATCTTTTTTATTTCTTGACATTTTCTTTTCTTTTTCTTTATCTTTATCTTTTTCTTTTCTTTTTCATTTCTTTTTTCTTTTTCTTTGTTTTCTTTTCCTTTTCTTTTATTTTTTCCTTTCTTTTTTGTACATTTTCTTTTATTATTTCCTTTTGTTTTCTTTCCTTTCCTTTTTCTTTTATTCCTTTTTCCATGTACAGTATGTTTTCTTTTATTTTTTACTTTTATTTTCTTTTCCTATTTTCTACGTCAGTGGCATTTTAATAGAAGTCAACGTGAGGTCAAACTCTTATAAGGTAAAGTGGTCCAAACTCATATTTTTTTTTTGTAGCTGTGCCGGGGATTGAACCCGTGCCTCCACACCGAAGTCCAAGAGGCTAACCACTAGGACTAGGCTAGCAACACACCCAAAAGTCTGTAAAATCGGTTATTTTCCTCGAATTATGCATTTGTTTCTGGACCCAGACACCAATTGTCATTGAACTATTTAAACCACCAACTCACCTATAAGGTGTTGTTCCTTGTAGGTTATGAACTTTATGACCACAGCAAAGGAAGGTAGCTATTACTGTACTTCCAGGAGTTCTGGAACAATTGTCTTTGCAACAATGATAATTTCGTCAAGGTCAAGGCACCAGTTTATTACTTAACTACAATTCACTAGTTTTCCTTGTTTGGTGTCGAGAGGCATCACAGAACAATTCTTGGTCAAATAGTTAACGAAAATTATTCAAAATGTTTTTGAGTATGTTGGCAAAAACCATATTTATAGATTAGAATATTTACATTTTCTTATTTTTGTAAATATAACGTAACTATCTTGTTATGTCATATGTTATGGTCTCTTGCATTTTAGAAAAGTACACATAAATAACAGTTTTCATTACTCTACACACGAAAGTACACTTTCTAAACGTAAAATGAGATAAGAAAATAGGTAATTCCCGCTACTGCACGGAAAAGTTACATAACGTTAACTTTCCGTGCGTATGTACTGCACGGAAAGTAACCGCTATGGGATTTTGCGGTGCAGTCAGATCAGCTGATTGTATTGTTGTTGAAAACACATTCCTCGCTTATATATTGACATTGTCAGTTAGGTTATGTTTGTTGAGATAGATTCTTTGAACTATGTGTACTAATATGGATAATATTCCTGAAACTTTGATGAACAGAGCGGTAAGTGTAACAAACGAATTATTGCCTGATGTGTCGCGTTTAAGATACGAAAATGAATACGATAAGCTTTGTACTTGGTGTCAAAAAGAAAACATTAAACCTAGCCAGGTTAATGATGACATACTTCTAGTCTATATGTCAGAACTGTCGAAAACTATGAAACCTAGCACCTTGTGGAGCAAGTATTCAATGGTTAAAAATGTCTTAAAAGTAAAAGAAAATCTTGGAAATTTAAAATTTCCAAAAACAGTTGCATTTTTAAAGAAAAAGTCTGTTGGTTTCAAACCTAAAAAAGCGAATGTTTTTACATCTGATCAAATTTCTCAGTTCATGATCAACGCTCCCGACAAAGAATGGTTGTTAAGTAAAGTAATTTTGACGTTTGGCATTTTTGGAGCCCTTAGGCGAGATGATCTATTACGCCTTAGCATAAATGACGTAAAAGATTATGGCAGTTTCATTAAGGTTACATTGAGAGATGGTAAAACACATGCTAGCAGAAGTTTCATCATTACAGACGATGAATGTACGTATCAACCCTGCCAGCTAGTACGTAAATATTTGTCTTTACGCCCATCAAAAATGACGAGCTCTAGACTTTTTGTTGGCTTCAGGCAAGGCAAGTGCGTAGCACAACATGTCGGGAGTCATACGATTTCGGATGTTCCCAAAAAGGTCGCCCAGTACCTTAAGCTAGAACAGCCTGAATCCTACACAGGTCATGCTATTCGACGCACATCCGCGTCAATGCTGGTGGAAGGGGGAGCGGATTTACTCACACTCAAGAGGCACGGAGGCTGGAAAAGTGCAACCGTTGCTGAAGGTTACATTGAGGAGTCCATAAATAGAAAAATTGATGTGTCTAAAAAACTTTTTTCAAAACCAAGTACTTCAATCTCAAATCAAAACAATTCCTCTTTGAATTTACTTCCAATCAGAGACATTACTAATTCAATTTCAAATTACAACAATTCCTCTTTGGATTCACTGCCACTCAATAACATTTCTAACAATGATGAAGAGGTGAATCTGGTTTCAAAACAATATTTTACAATC